TTGTAAGCGATGTATTTGGAGGTTAGGAAACGAGGGCGGTTCGACACAACGACGTCGTTTTGACCCGTGAAACATTCTTTTGCGAGTGCGGAGGAAGAGATGACGACGGCACGGCGGGTACCGAGACGGAGGTAGAAGATTGGGCCGTGTGTTTTGGCGAGTCTGTTGAAGAGACGGTGGACCGGCGGTTTGATGAGGCGGTGGTGGCCGATGATGGGAAGAGAGTGAGGCGGGGACGGAGGGAGGTTGTATCGCTGCGTTTTAGAACTGAAGATGATTTTGTAAGCAATGACAAGGAGAGCTAAAGGGAGAATCACGTAGTAAAACATCTTTTGTCACGTTCTTTTTAGTGCTGACGATTGCTCAAATGATTTGGTGTTTCTAGATATAATAGGAAAAGTGAGTTTTGGGGGTGAAAGAGGATTTGTAAGAACAGAGAAGGAAAGTTATGAGAATAATCACAAAGTGAAACATCTTTCCATGTTCTTTCCTATTTGGTGATGATGTCGCTGATTAGAATGATTTGGTAATCTATCTATCTATATATATATATATATAGTAGAAAGGAAATGACTTTTAGGGTCCCAACATTTTTTTATATAAAATATTTTGTTGATCCAACGGTTATTATTGCTTCATTCTTAGTCACGTTTTTAGCGCATAGATTGGATCATTTTTTTTTGTCAGCGGGAAAAGTAGTGTTCAACAAATTCAAATTGGTATGGTGGCTGAATAACTTACCGTGGGATTAAAAGAGGAGTGTCCAGGTGCTCACACATTATGCTTTTATTTATTTATTTCCTTTTTGATGAAAGTTTATTCTTCTAAAATTATATATTTAAGCTATCAAGCTGCTCATCTCGAGTAACAATCGCAAACTATATATTTGGTCATTTTTGTTTGCTGGATGAACATTTTTCAGAATTGCAAGATTTCAATATCCAATGATAAGTTTACTATGGGTCTGAAATACCAAACCACCTCCTTTAAACGATACGATTAAAAAAATTGGCAGTTGTATAATGAGTTATTTAATTACAATGAGCAGTTCAACTATGAGCAATGTGGTTGGCTCTATAATTTCACTATGTTTAGTGTCTCTTCACTTCTAGAAGTGTCAACTACACAATGTCTCTTTGGTTTTGTAATTTATGACAATTGCAATTTCTTCAATATTTATATAGTTTGATTCTATATTTTTAACCATGTAGCGGCAGTAGGTATGAAAAATAAGTTCACAAAGATTACTTGATTTTCCGTTTAATTCAAATATCCTTTTTGGTCCAGAAAGTCGGAAACAACATTTCATGGCTTCTTTTATGTCTCGACTTTATGTAAATTATATTTGATTAAGTTGTATTAGTTTTAATAAAAAAAAAATCATTTTGTAATGTACTTTTCAGTCAAAGTAGACTTAAATATTATCGTAACAACATAATAACATTACATTATAATTAATCATGAATCTGATACACGTTTATTTATCAACTATTACAAAGAAACATTATAATGTGTCGCTTGTATGATTTGAGAATTATAAATTTTCAAACTAAAACGTGTTAAACACTACACAAACGAAGCTTCATCTCCACATCCTCAGCCAAAGCTACCGTAAATAAATGTTTTTTATAAACAACAAATCGTTCACAAGACAAGAAATTAAAAAGGCCTTGGTAAAATATAAAAGCACATTTTATCAAAGTGCAGTTGTTATCCTTCTGCAGAAATATAATATTCTACTAAACTAGTGTAAGATAATGGAGAATGTCTTTATGTGTAATATTTTATATATTATTTGAAGTAATAGATATAAAAAATTTGAACAGCTATTATTAGATAGATAAAATTTTGAATTATTCATAACCCAGGATTAGTTGACGATGATTAGTCTCGAGATTTGAAAAAAAAATCTTCAAAATTCTTAATTTGTGGAATCAAGGAATTCCACAAAATTAAAGATGTCTCAAGACGATCTCACCGAAGAAAAAGATGTCTCAACCTCCATTAAAATTACTAAATTAGTATAACTATAAAGAAAGAAAATAGTGAAAGTAACTAATTTCTGATGAAAGTAGTTTAAAAGAGATGTTTAAAGATACAATTGCTAGGAGAGAAGAAGAAGAAAATAAATCCAGATAAATCTTTTCCCTTGTTTTGAGAGAATTTGATTAACACTAATTGCATATGTGATTTCTCCACCATTTTTTTGAAGTCGTTACTGCCACTTCAATCCCAAGATTTCAAAATATGCCTGTGTCTTAAAATTCCATTTAAACCCTTTTCGAGGACGTGATAAGTGAATCGATGAACACTTGCTATGTAAACTCTTAAATCTCTCGTGTAATCTTTTATTAAATAATAAAAGTGTACATACTCAAAGAGTAAAGCGGAATAACCATTTAACGAGTTTGGATGTTAAAGTAACATTTATACATCTCGTGGAAAACGTTCCAATCTATAAAGTCATATCCTTGAGTTTTACAATTTAAATATTACTTTCCATTTGTATTAGAGTCTTTGATTAACTAGGCCAAAACTGATATTAACTTCAAAACACCTTAACTAACCAACAATTTTCATAAAGTAATTTGCTATTAGATAACATCAACAACGATTAAATATGGGCTAAACGTATATATTCATTAGTTCGAGTTACACAAATATGTATTACACAGACGTGTCGAGTATGCATGATCCAGTTACATATAACTGAAGCTCATTATTAACAAGCAATAAAAGTAATAAAATACATCCGTTTTCCAATAAAAGAAAATTGCTACAGACAATGTTTAAAGGAATAAGCAATATTCAACTTTTCCTTGTTTACCACCAATCGCTTTCTCTGCCGCCGGCTGCCAACGGCTGCTTTATTCGAAATCCTGGAAGATTTTTGTGAGTAATTTGGATGGTTTGATTCCTCTATAAGAAAAGTCTTGTGATTTACAAATTTAATGTTGTTATATAAACCAAATTTAAAATTAAAGAAAATAAATTTTGTAGCAGAGCGGGCATACTATTCTCTCTTCATGAACTTTGTCCCCAACTACTAGTATCAAGATATGTGGGTTTAAAATTGTTGAACTATAATTTCGAAGATAAATAAGTTTCAAGCTATTAATTCAAAGAGATATAGGAGATACAAGTTTCCAACTTTTTATTTTCAGAAAGAAATAACAAAAACCCATAATGTAAAACTGTATCCAGTGTAAAATAATTGTCATCAGTCTTTAAAAATACAGTATTATAGTTTGCATGATTGCATCCATCTTTTTAATTTATCTAATGTATTTTCTTCCTAAAAATTTCCAAACCTTTTGAGAAAGGATCTATGAGAGTAAACTAAAACAAAGAAACATCTGAACCATTTCATCCTCTTTTTTTTTTTCCTCACCAGTAAATAGTTGTTTTGATTATAAAATTAGAATCATCTAAATTCTCTAACCACACTATCCTAAACTTAACTCCATCATCAAGAAGACTATAGATCTTAAACTACACTATTTAAAAAAAAAATCTTTAACTATGTGCCATTACCTAACAACACGTAAATCACGTGTTCCCATAGGGCACAACCGTAGCTTAGTCAGGGATGGACCCACACACATGTGAACACTGCACACATGATCTGCGTACCAATTAATTTATTTTTAATTTCTGCAATAGTTATAACAAATCAAACCGAGCTAATCCGTTTCATTTCTTAATTGTATTTAAAAAAATTCCGCTTATCTTTTGAAAAAATTATATTCAAGCTATAAGTATGACTATAGAGTTATATACATTATTAAAATTGTAGCCTCACATTGTGAAGAGCAAAATATAAACTTATAGAACCCAAATTTTGAACCAACCCAACCCATTACATAAAGTTAATTTGAAGGGGACTTGAACAAATGAGAGACCCAATAAATAAGGGGACGAATGAGACCCATTAAGAACTTTTTGACATACCAACCGTTCTCCTGCATCGAGGATGTCGAAGAAAACCCAGGCCCGGATCATTTATAAATTGGGCCCTGTGCTTTATCAAAATTACAAGCTTAAATACTACTCCCTCCGTTCTATATTGTATGATGTTTTGGGTTTTTTATTTTGTTCCACAAAGATTAATTTTCTACATTATATTTAATATATTTCTGTTTTCAAGACAACTTTTTAGGTAAAAAAATATAAAAAATTAGTATTAAATTAATAAACACACAAAAAGTACTTTAAAAAATAATAATAATCATTATTTTCTTAATATCTGTGAAACATCTAAAACATCATACATTCTGGAACGGAAGAAGTAATTTTCTATAAAAAGGGCAAGATGACCTTATAACAACAATTTTCATTTATATAACATAAGGAGAACATTGGTTATACCCATCAACAACGATTAAGTAGGGATTATTGGTTCTTATATTTTGGTGGATTCATAAATTTTTTTTGGATTTGATAAATTTATTAATTTCAAAATCAGTAAAATGGAAAAAAACCAAATCTACTCAAATACCAAGGTTAGACCTTGTATTTGGGTCTTTGTATTTTAGTCATGCAAATCTTTCCAAATCTATTCAAATTCAATTAAAACTCAAATCTTTATAATATTTAGATTTGAAAATAATAGAACCAATAACATTGTATTTCATTATGAATTTTAAAATCATAGAACCAATAACACTGTATTTCAATATAGATTTTAAAATACAAGAACTAATAACACTAAGGAGGTGTTATTGGTTCTTGTATTTTAATGGATTTGAGAATCCAAACCAAATTCAGTGTTATTGGTTGTTGTATTTTAAAATTTATATTAAAATACAGTGTTATTGGTTCTATGATTTTAAAATCCATAATGAAATATAGTGTTATTGGTTATATCATTTTAGAATCTAAATATTATAAAGATTTGAGTTTTAATTGAATTTGAATGGATTTAGAAAGATTTTTATGACTAAAATACAAAAATCCAAATACAAGGTCTAACTTTGGTATTTGAGTGGATTTGATTTTTTTTTATTTTGCTGATTTTGAAATCAATAAATTTATCAAATCTAAAAAAGATTTATAAATCCATCAAAATACAAAAACCAATAATCCCTAGGTTTGGATTAAATCCATTAAAATACAAAAAAACAATAAAATATGGGCCAAACGTAGATTTCTTTTTTCGAGTTATACACCACACAAATATTATACTCAAACGCAGCAAAATCTCACATCTCGACCAATTTTTCATAAATGGGCCTGAACTTTATTCATAATAGGCCTGGAACGACACAAGGCCCGTAAAGGCACTTTCTTACGCATCGCCATCCCCGGAGTCTCCGTCATATCGATCTCTTGACCGTTGACTTTTTCCCAGTCGAAGCACTGAATCAACGACCCTAACGCCAATGTCACGATCCTCTGCCCTAACCCGGCGCCGGGACACGATCTCCGTCCATTCCCAAACGGCATCAGCTTATGAACGTCTTCTTCTCCGCCGTTAAACCTCTCCGGTTTAAACTTCTCCGGTTCCTTCCACAGATCAGGATCTCTGTGTATAGCCCACGCGTTAACCATCACCATCGTACCACGCGGCACGTCGTATCCTCCGACTTTGATATCCTCCGTCGGAGATCTTGGCACGAGAAGTGGCGCCGCCGGGTATAGCCGATATGTCTCCCACACTATGTTTTGGAGGTAAGGCAGGTTCGCGAGGTCTGGTTCGTCGATCAAACGATCTTGTCCGATTTTCTCGTCGATCTCTACTTTTGCCTTTTCCAAAGACTCTGGATGATTCAGCAAACACGCCATCGCCCACTCTAACGTCACGGCGGAGGTGTCGGTTCCGGCGATCATCATGCCCTGTTTCGCGCAACATCATGAACCAGATCGTGTGAAACTAATCGACATTATTATCAATAATCGATGCAGTCAAAAAAAAATATTATCAATAATCGATTTGAATTTTTTTTTTTTTTTTTTTAACGATTCGGTTTTGCATTTTTACTTATTCGAATAAACCCTAAATTAAACTAAACCTGAAATAAAATGATTCGATATCAATATAATGATCATTTCGATTAAAATTTTGTTTTTGCTAAAACTACAAAAATCCAAAATTAAACCATATAAAACCAAATCACAACTACTTTTATATACTTTTCCAATACATGTGTTAGATTCGTTACCACTTACCAGCATGAGGCCTTTGATAGTGACGTCAGTGTAATACTCTGGCTCTTGTTGTTGCAGAGAGAGCAAATGGTTAACCATTGTGTTACCGTCTTTATCTTCCCTACACTCATCGAGCAACTTTTGCAAGATCTCATCCATGGCTTCTCCAACAGCTTTCACTTTCTTCTCGAGGCTCCCTCCGAAAATCTTGAGGAAGGGCAAGTAGTCTCCGGGATGCCTCGCGCCGCTACAATCGTTGACATCGGCAACGAGTTTCTTGAAAAGATTCGCCTCTTCCTCGTTGTGGACTTCGTCTCCGTAATATCTCTTCCCCGTAACCATTCTCACGATGTTGTTGAACGTAAGATCGGACAAGAGAGGCTCTAACTCGATCTCTTTGTTGACGACCTCACGTGAGAGTCTCGTGAGCATGCGGCGGATTTCGTCTTTACGGATGTAGAGGAAGTTGGTAATACGGTTCGTGGAGAGGATTTCGAGGGAGCAAATTTTGCGGAGGTTACGCCAGTGGTCGCCGTAAGGTGCGGTTCCGACGGTTGTGTAGTTGTATGCGACGTACTTCGCGGTTAGGAAACAAGGCCGGTTTGATAGAAGGACGTCGTTTTGTCCCGTGAAGCATTCTGTTGCGAGTGAGGAAGAGGAGATCACGACGGTGCGGCGGGAGCCGAATTGGAGGGAGAAGATTGGGCCGTGTGTTTTGGAGAGGCGGTGGAAGAGACGGTGGACCGGCGGTTTGAGGAGGCGGTGGTGGCCGAGGATGGGAAGAGAGTGAGGCGGAGAAGGAGGGAGGTTGAAACGCTTCGTTTTGGAAGTGAAGATGAATTTGTAAGCCAAGAGAAAGAGAGCTAAAGGGAGAACAATCACGAAGTAAAACATCTTTGACTATCCCTCTTTCTCTCTCTCTCTCTCTCTCTCTCTCCCTCTAGCGAGTCTGTTGGTGAAGGCGTCGTGGAAATAGTGAGATTGGTAAAATTATATATAGAAGAATGATCATGTATTTTTTATTTTCGACGCTATTTTATTTATTTTATATAGATACTTTTGTTTTTAGCTCGAAAGTCTTCGTAAGGTATTCTAATCAGAAATACTACACTGAATTAACGTAGATGTTGATTTTACTCTGTGGGTTGAGTATCTGTGGACGAACTACGAAAAAACAAAAAAAAAAACTGTTGGGTTGAGTGAGTATACTGAGAAACAAAAAAAAGTTTGGTATGATAAATATAAGCACATTTTTCTCGAAGTGATTAGAGCCTTTGTTAATGAAGTGGTTACCTTTGGTTACTGTCACAAAGGGTCCAACCAACTTTCCAAAGTTGGGAGTTGTAGACAAAACAAATATGTACTTTTTTTTTGTTTTAATGTTACAAAAATAAAAAATGTAAACCATCTGTGAAAATAAGTACTTTCTTTTCTTAAAACATATATTAAAATTAAAGAAAATAAGTAAATACAATATTTTTTGCAGAACTATTGAAACCCTAAAAAAGGTTAAATGTTTTCTTGTTGTCGAGAGATATTAGTACTGGGAAGACTGGAACAACATATTAAGAGCAAGTGCAACGCTGGTTTCTTCATCAGTATTTTAACTTAAAAAATAAAATGGTAAGAAATCTGAAAAGAAACAGATTTTAGAGTAAATTTTTTAAAAGAAGTATCTAAACTTTATTATAATAATATAATTGAATAATTTAATTAAATATTAAAAATAAAAAATATTGAATCAATTACAAAGAGATATCTGATTTTTGAGTTTCTTATATTGTTGAAAAAACCTTTTAAAATCTCTTAACCAAGAAACATCTTTTACTCTCTTTCATACTTTTCTATTATTTTCATTATTTTTAATACTAAGAAATTCTTTAACAAACATCGATGGAAGTGGTCTTATAACTCTTATTTAAGAGTTGACTCTTAGACTTTTTTGTATATATATCATCATATAAATGATTTGTTTTTATTTATATTTAAAATTGATTTATATTATTATATTATATTAATATTTTATATTTGAGAAATGTATCTTAGTGTTTCTATCGTTAGCACATGGTCTAACAAAATCAAAAGGAGTAAACGACGTATGGCCTCTTGATTTGAGTATAGGCAATTTTAGAATTTTGTTGTAAAAACGATGCAGTGGTAAAATTTTAAATAAATTAGATGTTTATTTTGCGTATTATGTTTGCAAGTATCGTGATCGATGTTAGTTGTCAAATCTTTACCAAAAAGTGTGTATTATTTTGAAATATATTATTTCATTGACGTATTTTTTGGGAAATTTACCTTCCAATGCCATATACGTTAAAAGCATCGGAGTTACTTTGACATTTATAATAATCATCATAATTTTTATTTTTTTATTTTTAACAATACGTATTGAATAGCCTAGACGGCTAGACGCCAGAAGGACCACACTATACATAAGAAAAGTTTATATTTTTTAATGTTTTTTTTGGTCTAAAATACCATTACTAATTTGAAATTCAAATAATCTAATAAATAAATGATACTAGTTTACTGTTAATAAACAAAAAGTTGAAATAAAAATAAATAAGTAGTAAATGAGAAAAAAAACAAATAATTTTGAACCTCAAAATATAATTTAGCAATCCCTAGGTTTCTATTAACCCTTGTTCCAGAAAATGGGGTCCGCACTTGAACCCACTTGTTTTGTCCTAGAATCGTATACGGTTGCTACGTGTGATGATCTTATTGGATATCTTATTATTCTCCCCAATCAACAAGACAGGTAAAACCACCACCTAAGACTACTTTTTTCTTTTCTTTTAACGTTAGAATTTTTATTGAGCATTATAAATCACCAATAGATGGTTACAAAAAGAGATTAGCCAAAAGGTTGTTACGAGTATAAAATTAAAAAGCTTTTTAAAGAAATTGAAAAACTCTGTAATAAAGAGTGCCTTTTTGCGACTTAACTTCTTACTTTAAGAGGGAAGATGAATTACTTGCTTAAATTACATGTGCAGAGTACGTAATCCAAAATGGATTTATATACATACCCTATAATACTGTGAAAAAAATATACCCTACAAATATATATAGCTCTCTTTAATAAAGAATGATTTGTTGCTAATTTCTAAGCTTTCTCGACTTAAATAGTTTTAAACAACGGGGTTTTACTTCCTTTTCTTCCCTCGGTCTCTAGTTGTTACTAAAAGTTATAATGACAAGTGGTTGACAAAAACGTGTTATCCTTAATTATATTGATATAAATTCAAGAAAAAAAACTACTAGTATTACAAAAAGTGTATTCTCACCAATCGATGTATGAGTTATATATATTGTATGAGTTCTTTGCCTTTAGATTCGATAAAAGAGAAAGTGGCACGTTGTATATCAGCACCTCGCAACAAGCACTTCGTGGCCACATTTTGCTCCACTTGAGCACGTTTTGACTCCTTTGTCTTTTTAGTCTCGTTTTGGCACGTCGTGACTTACGAAACAAACGAAAAGAAAATCTACATCTCGATTGACTACTTATGTCTTATTAGGATAAACCCATTTAAAACTATTTTGCATATATTTTATCCAAAATTAAGTTGTTCTCTATAAAACAATCGTAAGCTAATTTGCACCTGGCCTACTGATATTCACACGTAAGTGTATCATCTTATACCGTGTGGCGAACCCGGTGATTCATCGCCTTTCGTTTCTTTCATGCTAAATGATAGAGTGATGCCAAACTAAAATTTTCAAGCGCAGAAGGATGAGCCTACTAACTTAGAGTTAATATTGCAATAGTTAACCAGAATGGTAGAAATTAAAGAAACGGTTTCAGTCTACAACAATTTCACTATCTGAATGCATATATTATTATAAATTATCAACCATATATAAGTGTTTCCAAAAAAGAAATTCTTCTTCTTTTACACGTATTAACCAGAATATTTAATAGTTTTGTATTGATTATTCTGGTTTTTGAAATCCGATCATAGAATTTTCAAACAAATGAACCACCGAAGTTAATTAATTTTTTAAAGGGTTTCCGATATTAATGAAATCCACCGTCCAAGAATAATCTAGTTAGTTAGTGTTGTTTCGCTGCTTTGTCATAATCAAGAAAAAATCGATTCCTTTTGTGGGCTCTTGTTTTATTCATTTATGCTCCAACCATTTGTGCTCGTCGATCCGTCTTACTTTTATTTAAGGTCGTTAAATATTACCTTTTGAGCATATGTGTTGATTCGTATACATAAAATTTCCACTGAATATGTTTCATTTGAGATTCGGCTATACTTATATACATCCCAAGACCTATACACAACACATGTCCTTTCTCAAAAAAAAAAAAAAAAAAGACGTACACACATGTCCAGCAAATAATAGTTTTCTTTTATAAATTTTACAAAAAAAATTTGTTTAGTAAATGCGGAATCCAAAATTTACATATTAGAAATAAGTAATTGTAATAACCACTGATCAGGTACATATATAGTAGATCTTTTTTTTTTGGACAACTCACATAGCTGTTTAATAATCAACTACTAGTACTATCATCATGATCTTATTTGGATTCAGGTGTTCTTTTCAAATTAAGAGTATATTGAATACTAAGAAATTACTTTATATGAGTTAGCATATAACTAAGTGCTGTAAGGTTGTACTACTCTTTCAAAAATGACTCAGGCTTTTATATATATTAGTGTAAAGAAACAAAAATTGGACTGTTGTGTGCCATTTCCAAAGGACTTATTTATAAACCCATTATGTTTTGATATTATTGTTGATTTTAAAATAGAGAATTTGAATCACATGGCAAAAAGGCGTGTTTAAGAAATGACAAAAAACAAATCATGATATTTTATAAATTTTTTTTGGTAATGGAGATCTAATTACTTAAATATATTTTTTTGCAAGGATTTACTTATATATTTTTCATATAACATAATGTATTTTTCTATGTACAGTGTCCTTTTAAATGCAGCCATCTACTATATCCAATGAATTTATATTTTTTTTTATTAGATATATATATACGTGTGTATGTAATCGATGATTTTTTAGAGAAAATGACAATTTTTTAATATAAAAACATAAAATAATTTGAATTTTAAACTTAATGAACTTTATAGTATTTTTTTTAAAAACGATTACATTTTATAAATATTGTAAATCATATAATATTTTGCAATTTTTTTTTCTTTTTTTTTACTTATATAGATGATCTTAAAATTTATACACAGAAATTTGATGCTTGTGAATCCAAATTGTTATATTTTAAAAGGTTATTTAAAAAATATATATAGTGTGCTACATTTTTACCCAAATATTTGCAGATAACCTTTACCTGGTTTCTAATACTCTTAAGATGTGCTAATTAGCTATAATATACAAACTTCTCTATTCTTTGCTGGTTTCCGAGCTAATTTTTTATGGTCGTGTTATTTGAGTGTTTGGAATATACTCAATGTGAATTAATAATATAACTGCCATGGTCCATTACTCCAAACAATATAAATATATAATACTGAATCAAACAGAAAGGCACCATGATCTTTATTATTCGTTTGGTAAAGAATATATTGATTTGAGCAGATACGTTCACAATATAATAATTAAAATTGACTATAGAACTATAGAAGTTTAAAAATATATATAAATATCTATTACCAACATTATAAATACAAATATCACCTTGACATTCGATATGTAAAATCTGGATGAATTGACGTAGTTGAGAAATAATTCTTTAGTAGCCGTAAATAGTGTAAGAATAATCTATTCGGACTATTCAATCTTCAGTTTTGGTACTGTGGAAGGCTTGTAATTTATGTTAACCTTAAAATTACTGACATTTCAGGTTCTCGGCGCTTAGACGATTTGGATTCCTGAAATAATGAAGTGGACTTGGAGTATTGCCAAGTATTCACTTTTTATAGCTTTGTTTATTAAACTAGCTAATATTTACCATACTGATATTGGGCTTCATCTTGAAGCGGGCCGGTTGCTTGACCAGACTGGACTTAAAAAGCTTCCAATACTATAAAATAACTTTCTAGGTTTAGTTGAATTTCAGCAAATTCGTGTGACATTGCTATGATCTTTTTTAGTTTAGTCGGAGGTTTATAGTTACATAAATTTAGTTTTCGGACCAAACATAGTCAAATCGACGAGCTCGTCTCCGCCTGCGCCTACCGAGGAGTATTTACTAATTACCTATAGGTTCACCACAATCAGAAGAAAATGTTGAGACTTGCTGTGTTTATTTACTTGTAAGAAGTCTCATTTTTTTCTTTTTCTTTTCTTTTCACGTCCTTGTTAAAAACAATTGTTATCTGTTTCGGAATGATAATTGTTTTGTGTATTTTCTATATTATCTTGTCGATTAAATGGTCAATCTTAGGCGCAGTTGTATATATTTTAAAATTAACTTTTTGTGTGTGTGACAGTGATGACTTTGAGAGAGAAGAATATTTTTGGTTAAATCAAAGCAAGATAATCATAGTCTAATATAACCTAGTTAGTCCAGCAACTCATTATGTGATCATTAGTTTTTTCAGATCTGGTATATTCTTTGAAATGCAGTAAAACGAATTAATTTTTATACTAACATGATTTTTCATCACAAAATAAGATAACATTTTGGGACCATATAACAAAATATTATTTGGTTTCTTTCGCAGTTGGTCTTATTTCGATAAATGATACTAAGTCACTAACTAATTAAGCTATTTATTAGCTGGACTGGGACAGAAGAAAGAAGGAAAACATTAATACGTAACTAAAATTTATTGTACGATTCACAAACCCAAACCCTAAAGACAACAACAGCATAATAATAAAACTAACACAAGAGTCTAGAATCAGAAACAGAGCTTTCTGCTAGAACCGCACAGCATGGGTTCAACATTGTTTCATACGTTTCATCTAACGACGTCGTTCCGGCGACCAATGCGGCAACGAAGGGCTGAAATGAGTAGACACAACCCTAGAGTCAAGCAGCTCCATGATTGGCGTGAAGCTCACGCACCTCGGGACCTTATACTGATTAATCGATGCACCTCTCGAGATGGCATAGTCCATGAGCTCCTCAAACGTACCGTTCTGCACCACACGTATCTCCAACGGACCGATCGATTTATCCGCGACCCGGCTTTGTCTATAAACCGAGTTCAACGATTCCTCCATCTCCAAACAACACTCAGCCATGACCTCGTCACTAGGGCAAGCGTTAGTTTGGTCGTTACCAAGTAGCTCCCAATAGATCACGTAGTGACCCGGTATAGTCTTCGTTTCTGCATAGCTCGTATACTCGATTACACGCATTCCTTGCTCCGCAATCAACCTCGACGCATTCTCCACGGCCTTTTGTAGCTCAGCCTCATCGGTTTTATCGGATTCGATGCTCAGCAAAACGTTCTTCCTCCTTATGAATTTGAACTGCGGAGCGGAATTATGGAACCCCGTGACACGAAGAATGTCACCAACTCTGTAACGGCAGAGCCCGGCATAGGTCGTGATCACGAGTTCGTACTCTTTTCCGACTTCAACATCGGCTAGCTCCACAAGTGCGGTTTCATCCAATGCTGCTTCCGCTGCTCCATCTTGATCGTGTGGGATAAACTCGAAGTAGGCCATGTTGGGCATGATTGTGTAAGAAACCTCCGACGGTTTACACATCGGTTTTAGGTTAATCCCGAAGTAACTTTCTGAAGAAGCATACATCGTGCAAGCCATCGGTAATCCGCCGCTATAGTACTCCAACGTCGGGATATACTGAGCCATCGCTCCAGTAACAATCACATCAAGGTACTTCGTGTTAGGCCATATCTTAGTGATAATCCCTCCCCAGTTCTCTCGTGAACAAACCTCGATCAAAAACTCAGCCAATTCTTGATCGGGTTTGGTCAAAATCTTCAGCATGCGGTTTTTGATCGCAGGGTCGAAGATTCTAGAACTTAGGGTTCCGGTTGAAATATCCCGAGCAAGTTCCTTCCAATTGTTCTGGAGGAAGCTTATGGCACGGAGGAGACCGGAGGCGAAGACCGCTCCGAGACGGAGGACGTCGTGGCGCATCAGTAGACCACATAGCATTTGAGCATACATGCTTTGGGACGAGTCAGAGCAGAGGATGGCTTCGTTAGGACTAGTGTAGTCATTGTACGGATCGTACGGTCGTCTCCTGAAGTGGTCACTTTTGTAGTAACTCGTGAGAACCGGACGAGCCGGTAACCCACCTGACGTCTTAGACTCCGACTTCACAAACAAGAAGTATAGCCCTTTGCCTTTGTCTAATCCAGGCACGTACCTGTAATTTTGTTAAACAATTTTTGATAAAAATTGTTTAATTGTTGGTTAATAATTACAAGAATAAAATAAAATGTTTTTTTAATGCAGTACTAACAGATTCATCACAGGCATGAGAAGACTGTATAAAAGCTGACGTCTGTCTAAGTCTTCTTCAATTGTTGGCATCAATTTCCTTTCACCAGCAGATGTCCCAGAGCTGCATATAAATACAAACGTTACGGTTAACTATAATTAAATTTTAAAGTTAAAAAACGTTATAATTAAATTTAATTTTTGTAATTATGATAATAATAGTTATTGATAAAGTTGACTTACCTTGTGAGAAACTCGTTGATGGGGTGAGAAGACAAGATCGGAGAACGATCGCCGTTAGAAATACGTTGAATATCCGGCTTTAAATCCTCGTAGGTAACCACCGGAACTTTGGTCTTGAATGTTTTTCGATCAGAAGAGCCATTAAGATGGAACCGTTTCAGATATTCGGTATTCGAGTTACGACTCAGTATCTCTCCAAGAACTTTCTCCTGAACCGAGTCAGGGTTCCGAGTCATCTCCTCTATAAACTTGAGAGCCTTCACGTCTTTCTCAGAGGTCGTCGATGAAGACATCCGAGATTGAAGAGGCGAATCAACGGCCATGTTTGATCGAATGTTTTTTTTTAAGAAAAGAGTGTTTAATATTAGCAAATGCTTTACTCGTTTGATGAGGATAACTCGGCGAAGGGGTGGTTGTATTTATAGGAAGGGAAATGCCACGTGGACATACGTGTGGGCCCCAGAGTACTTTTGGTTAGATATTTGACTTGATCGTTGTTTGTCACAGGCATGTAGCCTACACGGGGGACAAAAGGTACAGTAGACAAATAAGCTAATGTCAGTTTACGAAGACATAAGGGACCCACTTGTCTCTGCCACGTAAGCGTTTATCGCTGTTTGGGTTTTTGTCTTATTGCCATAGGCGTCATTACGGACCTACGTGGCTCGTTTTTCTTGTGACACTTTTATTTGTTCGTCAATAGAGACGGTCAAATACTAACAAGCTTTGCTTATAACGCTAATAACGGAAGAACTTTAACTTAAAGATTTTTTTGGTAGTAGTATATAATATGCAGCTTAGAGATCAGTGTTGTTGTTTTTGGAGGCAAGTTGATAACCTATGACGCAAAGTATTGTTTTAGATTATTATTTAGTGCGAATATTGCTCTAGATTTAAAGAAGAATTTTATAAAAGACATATCAAATCGTCTATAACATCATGCTGATTACGATTATGAATCTATGATTAAGTTTTTTTCTTTCTTAAGAACCATTTGTCGTTTCTGGTTTTATTGGTTTTCGCTCTTTAATTAGCCAGTAGCGTTTAAGATCGGATTTGGAGTTTGACCGTTAGATTCAAATATAATACACAATTTCCTCGAATTCACATTGATCGTCTCTCTCTCTTTAGTGTATCTTTAATGATCGTCTAATGGTACGTAATGTTAATAGTTGTTTAATACGTACGATAGTTGTAAGATCTATACAAGTATACATATGCAATCTCCTAGGACGGATGAGAATCGGGAACTGCAAATCCTATGAAAAGATGTATAAATTCACGTGTATTCGTTGATTCAAAGTTTAAATAAAATATAATGAACCAGAACTAATGGTCCTGTGAAAGAGAGAGAAACATAAAACACAGTCTAATTTAGACTGCTTTTAAGGCAACTGGCAACTATAAAAGGATTGATTATTGTATAGTGTGAATGTGCTTATGAATTCAGCAAGCTAACAATATACTATTACTCCTACATACCCGAGATATTTGTGGTGATTAACTTCACTAAATTTAATTTATGTTGATTTGTAGAAATATATATAGCTGGTGCATCACCAGACATTGTTAATACGGTTTAAAAAGAAAAAGAAAATATTAAATTGTAACTTAAGCAACTTTTTGTTTTATGGTTTATTAGAGAATTTTTAAATCAGAACTTTTTTTGTATATAATGGTGTGTGCATGACATCGCAGGTTAATAGTAAAAACATATTTTATAACAGTGAGTAACCCAGTTTTTTTATATAATTTTTGGTTTTAAGTTTGAACCAATTTTTATATATATCATATCAGCACCCTAGAAGCAAAGAGTGGTCTGTATGGACATTTCATTTCGTTTCATGATCGTCGCTCGTGCTGTACCCTCCCCAAAACTTGCTCCATTTAATTCATAGGTTTTGTCTCTTGTCTTTTTTGGACTATAAACATATTTAAAATAACAACGATATTAATGTAGCACTAATGTCACCAATCACCTTCACGATTATTTTCGGGACCTTGATTTCTACTTCCATCTACCCAAGTTTTTTTTAATTGATCATCACGATTTTTTCTTGTCAGCCATTCATCAACAGTATACTCTTTTTTTCATGTAAAATATTGCCAAACTAAAAAGAAATTACGACCGAGTGAAGGTTTTTTTCGAGCTTTAAATGGTATGCCACAGTGCAGATTGACGTATGTTGTTGATATTATTAATAGAACTTGTATTTCCTTTTTTTCTTTGGATAATGAGTCGTCAAAACCAAAGTAGACTGATACCGAAATTTAGAGACGTACAACACTATTATTCTCTATAATAGCCTATAGAGAATAAAGAGTATTTTTTAAAACTGCATCAACTTAAATACGTACATATATTTATTTTTGTTTAGCTCCCGCAAAAAGTCTAACAATGCATATACATGATATAATACAATCCGTTATGGCGACGGGTCACTCGACAGATGGGCCAAAAGGAATACTTTATGAATAAGTACCTAACGAAATGAAAAGAAGAAAGTCACTGTTTTAGGAAGAGACTAATCGCACGGGTCATACATTATCTCTGATTAGACATTTCGGGAACCATATTTCTTCTGGAGAACAAATTGTTCGTTAAAGAATATATATATTTTTTTTTTGAAACAAAAATTATTGTTCGTTAGAATAGTCACTTCAACTATTGTTTTCAAAAAGAAAAAAGTAGTCACTTCAACTATCTCACCAATAGTATATCATTAGAATATATTTATATGAATAGTAGGTATATTAGAGTTTATTTAGACTAATCGAAGGTTGATTATTTACTCATAAATAATAATCTTGTCCCCTATAAATTAACATCCAGTTAATTAATACTATGTGCTTCTTTTTTTTACCTTCATTCGAATGATCAAGTCTCACACTTTTACACTAATATATAGACCAAAAAGTAAAATAATAAAATAATATGTATGAACAAATAGTATTTTATTAAACCTATTAGTAAAAAAAAAAAAAAATACAAATGCAAATATGAAACTAATTTAAAAATACAAACGGAGTAGTACCTTATTTTATTTTATTTTGTGTTTATGATCTAATTTTATATATAATTATAACATCGCAAAACATATAAACATGTTTACGTATATTAGTCAGTATTCGGTTACGTACACGTTAATTTGCTGTCAATAGTCTATAACTAAAGTCAACATTATACAGTACACATGTTGACTGTAGTTTGTTAAATCTGAAAAAACAAAATTATAGCTAGCACATTCATTTCAAGCTATCCATTTACTGGACGCCAATCTTACATGGTTTGAATTTTCTTCTGATATCCTTTTTTTTTTTTTTGAATATCTGAAATCCTTTGGTTATGAGAAAAACATACGATGAAAACCTGTGTTTTACTTTGAACAAAATAACAAAATTTGACCAATTCGTCTACTTGTCAAAATGAAAACAAAAAAATAAAACGGAACACGATTCTATGTTAAAGAGAGAGATAGATATCCAAAAAAAGCATGGCGTCACATTGCTGACGATATTGGAGAAGATATCTTTGGATAATATATGTGACAATTTGGTTTTCCCATTCAACATTATTATCAACACACAAACAAAATAAACGGCACGCGAGGTAGGAAGATACGAAATTTAGAGAATATTTACAGTGTTCTACCATAAAGTCTTTACGTGTTTACGTAATAGTGGAATTAAAAAACAAGCGAACAGTTAGGTGGAAAAGATAAATAAATGCCGAATCAGAGTGTTTTAAATCAAACACGACTCTATCCTTCATTTAACAAAAATTGTATATCCCTTGCGTAATAACTACAATAATCTTGATAATAATTGGTGCATTTTGAAAAGATAATAGATAGGCACATGGACGCACGTCGCATACTTGGTCCCATTCATTCTATACTATACATGTATATAACTCTTTACTGCATGCATGTGGATAGATCTCTGTATAAAGAAGTAGACACACTTTTACGTTGATATGTCACTATTGTTTTCACAATTTAGGATATATATATTTTTTTAATATAAAATATGATTTTGCTTTTTGAAACCGAGACATACAATGCATTTTGAAAAGGCAAAAGCATGAGTAATGTATAACCAAACAATTGTACATGTTTCGGGATCAGAGAGATCGTAAAAACAAAAGCATAAGTTTATGGGCAAACACTGTCGTTGTTATTCTTTACGAATGTCCTGTCATTTCTGTTTCTATCTTCTTACATTGTTTGATGAATTATGTGTTTTCTGTATAGATAGAAACAAATAAAGCGTTTTCTACCTTTTTTCGTGGACACAATAATTTAGTAACTGTGGAGTTGATAGTTATCCATCAGCCAGTAATCCACTAGTCTATTTTCTCCTAAACATATTTTTGCTATACAAAAACACAAGAAATTGTAGGATAACTATTAAAGTATATCCTAATTAAGCATAGTCTGAACACTTCCTTAGTTTGAGAAAAACTATAGTATGTATATGTTCAGTAATCAGTATTGGAACCGTAAGCAGTTCTCACTATCCGAGGCTTCGGAGTTCAGAGCCAACATTTATTTAAAAGTATCAGTATTAACTAATCATACATAAATATGTTCCAAAATAATATAAGAAATCAACACATGACATCGGTTGATCAAAACCGTTGAAGTTGTTTGAAGGAATTTAAACTTCAAAATTGTTTGAAGGAATTTATCGGATTCAAACTTCAAAATTGTTTGAAGGAATTTATCGGATTCAAACTTCAAAATTGTTTGAAGGAATTTATCGGCTAAGACTTGATGTATCAAACAAATAGCTATATAATCAGGAAATGTTTCTCGTATACGAACCCGCTCCTCCAATATGTTATCGGTTAGATTAGAATATATGTACTATTGTTTGTTAACAAATAATCCAAGGTTACTGAAAGCCCTTTTTATAAAAAAAAAAAAAAAAAAAAAATTCAAGGTTTTTAAAATTACAATCTTATAGGGTTTTTTAAAACAAGGGAACAATAAGTCCGTGACATAAACTTTTATTCCAAACAATGTACAGAGATCGATATAATAAAATAAAATCGATTATTTTTTCATGCGGATTCCTATACAAAACTCAAAACAAACTGAATATGTATCCAGATCAGAGAGCTTGTAAAGATATTGAAACTTAAATAAAGTTAATACGTATACGTTATATATATGCCGTAGCAATCCAGCTACGGAACACTTCTGTTCAGTCGCTTTCGTTACCGGGAGACGTCCAGTGTTCAATTCTTACTTATATTCTCTACTTTTCGTTTTGTTTTGTTTCAATTGTATATAATTTTCTATAAATTTTGTTAGTCTTTGTGGTTGTCTTTTAAACTCGTGTTTATAATGTATGGTTATGATGAAAAATACGTTTTTATGTTTAGTCCGTGTAGTTGTAGGTTTTAGATCCGAGCATTAAAACTTGAAACCGGAACCGGATCCGAATATATGGTGTGTTTTTCTTATTCTTCTGAATTTTCTTATATTTTTATTTGTTTTCTCATAATTTTTGATTTTCATAGAAGGTAAATACTACATAGAAAGAATTTTAAACAGAAGCTGAAGGGAACGTCACATGACTAAGGTTGGACCAGGACATAGCTTTAGTTCTTTAGACACAATTAATATGTTTCTTCGTCTTACACCTTTTGTCTCTTTCCCTCTTTTTTCTTTTCACTCCTCTCTAGGTTTTGTCTCTCTTCTATATATCACTTCTCTTAATTACATTTACAATGTTATTGACTATTACTTTAATCATACACACATATATTGCCAATATTCTTTGATCGCTTTGTCTCTGCCAAAATCTTTCCTTGATCTCTTTGTCTCGGTCAAAATCTCTGTGGCCCTTTTATTTTTCTAGGTGCTTCTGAATTTTTGGTCAAGGACAAATTTGTAGACTTGTGTATATTCAAAAAATAGTAAATAAACCAGCTACATTTGACTCCTGCTTGCTAAATACGGTATACAATAAGCTCTTCTTTATCTTTAATAATAAGCCCATCTTATACCAAGCTTAATGGGCCTATTGCGTTTATCGTATGGGCCTAATGTTCTTCAAATCAGTAATTAATTTTACTTTTTGGGTCAAAGAATTAGCAACTGCCGAAGAATCGAAGAGATGGACTCGTCACCCAAGAGAAGCCTCGTTTCTTCCACGGCTAAGCAGGGGAGCGTTGAAGCCGCGAGAGCTTTGTTCGACGGTAGCATGAGTTTCGAGCTGGAGGTAGAGAACACTCGAAAGGCAAGGATAATTACACAATGCTTAGAAAGATCAGTGAGCATCTTGAAGAGAGACAGAAAGAGCAAGTCTAATGGTGGCTATGTTCCAAACATAAACGTGGTCTTGCAAGATCTCGAAGAGAGACAGAGAAAGAGCAATTTCTGCAAGTTCATAGCGAGAGGCTCACGATTGTTTTACGGTCTGATCTGTACCATACCGGCAAGTCCCCTGAGGAAATTCAAGAACCTGCGAGACCTTGGAGGGCATATTCTCTGTTTACAGAGTTACACGACGAAGAGTTTTCCAATTTTTCGTCAAGACCAAGACTTTGACTATTTATTTCAGGGAGATAGAATCAAAATTGAATTTTCCCTCGTCATAAGACGACATTTGTTAACAAATAGTTTGACAATGCAAAATCAAAAAGAACAAAAGTTTGGCCAATGCGTCAAATAGTCAATATTAAAAATCAAATTTGGTTTTTGTTCTTTCCTATCTATTTAAAAGTTTAAGACCCCACAAATTTTGCCGTCACTCACCAAAATTCCAAGGGAAGAAGCGAAAATCAAATATGGAAGCCAAAACCCTAATTTTCTCAGTTATCTTCACTGTTCTCTCTCTCAGATTCTTGATCGGAAGAATCAGGCGAAAGCCCAACCTCCCTCCGAGTCCGGCATGGGCGTTACCGGTGATTGGTCACCTCCGCCTCCTCAAACCGCCGATCTACCGCACGTTTCTCTCCATCTCTCAGTCTCTAGGCGATGCTCCGATCTTCTCCCTCCGCCTCGGAAACCGACTCGTTTTCGTGAACTCGTCGCACTCGATCGCCGAGGAGTGCTTCACCAAGAACGACGTCGTACTCGCGAACCGGCCAAACTTCATCCTCGCCAAGCACGTCGCGTACGACTACACAACCGTGATCGCAGCTTCGTACGGAGATCACTGGCGGAACCTCCGTCGCATCTGCTCCATCGAGATATTCTCGAATCACCGGCTCAATAGCTTTCTGTCTATCCGGCAGGACGAGATCCGGCGGCTGATACTGCGTCTCTCCAGGAACTTCTCACAAGTAAGTGAGCGCTTTGATTCTAATTTTGGATCGGAATATTAGAGCTTGATTTGGAAATTTGAGATAGTTAATGGTTAGTCATATGATTAACAAACACTCTGTTTTTTGTGGGGATGTGTCCTTGAATTTTGCAGGAATTTGCAAAGGTGGAGATGAAATCAATGTTATCGGACTTAACATTCAACAACATCATCAGAATGGTGGCCGGAAAACGTTACTACGGAGACGGTGCAGAGGACGATCCGGAGGCTAAACGAGTGAGGCAGCTTATTGCGGATGTGGTGGCTTGTGCCGGCGCCGGAAACGCTGTTGATTACTTGCCGGTCTTGCGTTGGGTTTCAGATTACGAGACGCGGGTCAAGAAGCTGGCGGGTCGGCTCGATGAGTTCTTGCAGGGATTGGTCGATGAGAAACGAGGAGCTAAGGAGAGAGGCAACACGATGGTCGATCACTTGCTTTCTCTGCAAGAATCGCAACCGGATTACTTCACGGACCGCATCATCAAAGGAAACATGGTTGTAAGTATCCGAAAACTCGGAAAAAAAAAGGGATTTAGGTTTCATGATTCAATGCAATCGATCACATTTTGGTGAGGAACTTTGTAAGTTTAGTCTTGTGTATGTGTGGAATCTGCAGGCGCTGATACTAGCGGGGACTGATACGTCAGCGGTGACGTTAGAATGGGCATTGTCGAACCTGTTGAACCATCCTGAGGTGTTGAAGAAGGCGAGAGAAGAGATCGATGGAAAGATCGGTTTAGACAGGCTTGTGGAGGAATCAGACATCTCGAATCTGCCATATCTCCAAAACATCGTGTCTGAAACGTTGCGCCTTTACCCTGCGGCTCCCACGCTGCTTCCTCACGTGGCCTCGGAGGATTGTAAAGTTGGGGGATTCGATATGCCACGAGGTACGATACTGTTGACCAATGCGTGGGCCATACACAGAGATCCTAAGCTGTGGGATGATCCAACGAGCTTCAAGCCAGAGAGGTTCGAGAAAGAAGGAGAGGCGCAAAAGCTAATGGCGTTTGGGTTAGGAAGAAGGGCGTGTCCAGGTTCTGGACTGGCTCATCGGCTAATAAACCTGACTCTTGGATCTCTGATTCAGTGTCTGGACTGGGAGAGGATTGGAGAAGAAGAGGTGGACATGACTGAAGGCAAAGGAGTCACAATGCCTAAAGCCAAGCCTTTGGAAGCCATGTGCAGAGCACGTGCCTCTGTTGGTAAAATCTTCCAAGAGTCTACTGCTTCACTTTTAGTAACGAGTTAATTCCTTACTGTATGTCTCTCCCCGAGAGAATAAAAAAAGAAGAGAAGGTAACGAGTTTTTTATGAGTCTGTAGTGTACGTTGTGTAATTGTTGTTGAAGGACAATCAAAGCACTATACATAATACATGTCAATAAATCGACTGTAAAAATGTTTATATATAAGTAATTGTCATATTAATTTTCACTTTGGAACAGAAAAAAATATAGTATCTACTAACAATGAAAAAAAATACAATGAATGTGTTTCAAAGTTCAGATTTTGATATATCTAGATATAATTTTATTTGTTTGATTAGTTGCTTGTAAATTTAAGATTTTATCAAAAAATGTGATTTTACTAGTTTTGATGAAAAAAATACATTTTTTAAATCTTGATAAAAAACCAAAATAAAAAAAATTATTTTTATGTTATAATGTAATTTTACAATTTTGACGGAAAAATGTGATATATATTATTTCATTATAACATGGAAATTTGAGTAAAAATATTACAAAAATCCTTAGAAGTATATATTGCTTAATAATGCATGCACTACCATATAAATTTAATAATAACAGTGTAGTCATAGAGCATGTGCAACACAGATTTTTAAAAAGATTTTACGAGATTCTAAATAATGAAAAAAATAAAAAATATATATAAAAAAAAGAAGTGATTCTTAATTAAGAATCATAAAATTTAATTCTTAAGAAAATAAGAGATGATACCGTCACATGTCAAGTTTTAAATGGTTAAAAATTAATTAAATATTTTTTTTATATAGGTTATAATCTCTTTTTGAGTTTCTTATTATCATCTAAATAATGTACTAATAAAATATACAGAAGACGGGTATAATAATACCGTTGACATTATATACCGACGTACCGACTTTTGACTGTGCGTGATATGGACGATCAATTATATTATTTATTAAAAATTTCATCATACCTTTCTAAACGTTTCCAATTACAATGTTTGCGCGGCTCTGGTTCATGGCGCACGATTGAGGCTTAGAGCTGATATCGTTTTGGTGGTTTTCGTTTCCAACTATCTTTAATTTGCGAATCTAAATAATATGATAGTTATACAAACCACTATGTTAAAAGAATATATTGACCATTTTTTTAATGATTATCGATCAATTAAAATAATACTGTATATATAAAATATTTGAATTTGAAATCAGAAATTTGTATTGTGTTTATTTATAAATTTAAAAAATCCGAATTTCAATTTTTTTATTCCCTCGCCAAACGCGTTTCGTTAGATCATCTTATCAACCAATACAAAAAGAATGACCAAGTGAGAAAGCATCACCAACAAAAAGAAAAAATGGAGTTCACCCAAATCTTACTTCTCTCGTTTCTCTTAATATTTATCACAATCAGATTCTTGTTCAAAAGATCAAGCCGGAAGCTAAACCTTCCTCCGTCTCCGGCGTTCTCTTTGCCGGTGATTGGCCACCTTCACCTCTTGAAGCCACCCATACACCGGAGATTCCTCTCTCTTTCTCAATCCCTCGGAAATGCTCCCATCTTCCACCTCCGCCTTGGATACCGCCACGTGTACGTCGTCACTTCACATGCCGTCGCCGAAGAATGTTTCACCAAGAACGACATCGTTCTTGCTGACCGCCCAGATCTCATCATGGGTAAACACGTCGGTTACGATTCGACCAATATGCTCTCCGCATCTTACGGCGACCACTGGAGGAATCTACGCCGCATCGCCGCCGTAGAGATATTCTCGACTCAGAGACTTAATTCGTTTTTGTATATCCGTAAGGACGAGATCCGACGGCTCATATCACGTCTCTCCAGGGACTCTTTACACGTAAGGTCTTATCTTTTCTTGTACAGCTCATATTCACGTGCCACAGATAAGGTTTTGAAATGTGGGGATCTCTCTAAACTTTGCATAATTCCCGATCCACCAAGTTTACTTTTCACATTAATACATTTACTTTATTATATATGTAGTTTTCATGATCTTCCAGTTCAAAATCATTTTCACAATAAAACAAATTGACCAACGTCATTTGTCTATTTTATTTTATAAAAATATACAAGTTTCTTTGCAAATTTTCCAAGTAATTAGTAGTAACTTTTATCAGTAATTTTAATGGCAGGGATTCGCGGAGGTTGAGATGAAATCGTTATTCACTGACTTAGCATCCAACAACATCATCAGGATGGTGGCCGGAAAGAGATACTACGGCGTTGACAACGAGAACAACGAAAAGGCCAAACTTGTGAAACAACTTATCTTGGAGGTGATGCTTAATTCAGGCGCCGGGAATCCAGCTGACTATCTTTCGATCGTACGTTGGGGCACCAATTACGAGAAACAAATAAAGAACTTGGGGATTCGGTTTGATGCGTTTTTGCAGGAACTAATCGATGAGAAACGTGACGAGAAAGGTCAAACTATGGTTCATCGCTTGCTTTCTCTCCAAGAAACCCACCCGGCTTACTATACAGATGAGCTCATCAAGGGAATCATACTCGTAAGTATCAATTATATGGTACTACGAAGCATTTATATCAATGTGAACATTTATATAAATTTTATATATTGACAGGTTTTAATAGCTGCGGGGACAAACACGACATCCATAACACTAGAATGGGCGATGTCGAATCTGTTGAACCATCCAGAGATACTCAAGAAAGCGAGAACCGAAATAGATGAGATAATCGGTTCAGATCGGTTACTTGACGAACCGGATGTCGTGAATCTCCCTTATCTTCAAAACATTGTGTCGGAGACATTTCGCATGTACCCTGCTCTACCGGTACTAGTGGCTCACATGTCATCGAATGATTGTAAAGTGGGCGGATATGATATGCCGCGTGGTACGATGTTATTGACCAACGTGTGGGCGATGCATAGGGATCCAAAGTTATGGGAAGAACCTGAGAGGTTCAAGCCGGAAAGATTCGAGAAGGAAGGAGAGGATCAGAAGTTGATGCCGTTTGGGATGGGACGACGGGCTTGTCCTGGAGCCGGACTTGCTCAACGGTTAGTGTGTTTTGCTCTCGGGTCTTTGGTTCAATGTTTCGAGTGGGAAAGAGTTGATGGAAAATTTGTGGATATGACCGAAGGCAAAGGAGCCTCGATGCCTAAAGCGACGCCGTTGCGAGCTATGTGCAAAGCACGTACCCTTGTTGGTAAAGTGATTTAAATATTTTGATATATATATTGGGTTTTCTTTGTGTAAAACTGTTGTCTTTTTTTTTTTTGAACTAGTCTTTTTTATTTCTTGATTAATAAGATTTTACTTCTTCAGTCCTCGTTTCAGTAGAGTATTTATATGTTTATGTAGAAAACATAGAGTTATTAAAGCAAAAATAGAAGCCATTAAATCATATACAGATATGAAAACAAAATGTAATACGAAATAAAATAAAATGATCCTACGGTCCTACCAGCCAAATATTGTAGTACAGAAATTAATGATTGTTTCTTAATTTATGTAAACAAGCAAAACATCATACTAAATGATCCTACGGTCCTACCAGCCAAATATTGTAGTACAGAAATTAATGATTGTTTCTTAATTTATGTAAACAAGCAAAACATCATACTAAATGATCCTACGGTCCTACCAGCCAATTATTGGAGTACTATTCAATAGCGATCGTCGGATATAAATATATACTCTGATGTCTAACTTTGTTCTGCTTTAGAAAACCTCTCCAACAATGTTTTCTTAGTAGTGGTGCTAGAGCTAATTGTTTTGTGGCTAACTGATTATCAATCAATTAAACATTATTTTTTAATTAATAATATGATAAATACATAAAAACTGATCCAATTGGTAAGCTCATGGTATTTTAGTATTAAAAATTTCAAATAATTAAAAAAAAAGAAAAAAGGAAGAGAGAGAAAATCTCAAAAAAGATCTAAAATATTTAAATAGTGTGTGTCACTTTATGATTGGCTCAGTGTTTGAGACATCTTTTAAAGTTCATACATCGAAGATGCTAAAAAAAAAAAAGACTTCTAGAAGGAAACCAATATATTTATTTCCTTGCCACGCGAGCGCCGAATGGGTACCACATGGTATTGAATCGATACTCATGAAAGATTCAGAAAAAATAAGAAACTCATTAACAAATAAAACATGGACCTGGTCCAAATCTTAATCCTCTCTTCTCTCTTTCTCTTTATCTCTACTAGATTCTTGCTCACAAGATCCAAACGGAAACTGAAACTTCCACCGTCTCCGGCTATCTCTTTGCCGTTTATCGGTCACCTCCACCTCCTGAAGCCACCGCTCCACCGAACATTCCTTTCACTCTCCAAATCCATCGGAAATGCTCCGATCTTCCACCTCCGCCTGGGAAACCGCCTCGTGTATGTCATCTCCTCACGTTCTATGGCCGAAGAATGTTTCACTGAGAACGACGTCGTTCTCGCGAACCGTCCCAAGTTCATCGTGAGCAAGTTCGTCGGCTACAACGCTACCCATCTGCTCGCGGCATCTTACGGCGACCACTGGAGGAATCTCCGCCGCATCACGGCCGTAGAGATATTGTCGACTCAGAGACTTAATTCGTTTTTGTATATCCGTAAGGACGAGATCCGACGGCTCATATCACGTCTTTCCCAAGACTCCTTACACGTAAGAACCACCTTTTTTTATACATTTCTTGTTTTATCCTTTACTCTTACTCGTAACGTGTACGTATGTACTTATATACTCCTATAATTAATACTTTATATTTAATTAGAACCACGAATTATCCATCCAAAATGAATTGTTTATACTATCTAATGTGACTATAACCTTCTTTTGAAAAGCTTGCTTGTATAGATAAAAGCTATTAATTTTCGAAAGTGTCGTCTCAATATTCATAGTCTATAACTGAGAATAAAACCTGCCGACAAAAAAAAACATAAATCTTAACTCTATGCAGACTCTAGGTTCTATAATGATCATATTAAGGTGTTGATTGTTTAAAATTGGTAAAATACTTGGTTTCGATTCAAGAGAAACATAACCATGTTTTTTGTTATAATATTTTTAAACATGTTAAACATAAATGCATGAGTATAATTAATTTTTCTATCTGCCAGTTTCCTAGTAACGTTTAATTACTCCTTGCTGTAAATTTGTAATGGTATATTCTCAGGGATTTGTGGAGGTGGAGATGAAATCATTATTAACCAATTTGTCATCCAACAACGTCATCAGAATGGTCGCCGGGAAGCGTTACTACGGTGAGGAAAACGACGAAGCAAAACTCGTGAGGCAGCTTGTATCGGAGGCGGTGACCAGTGCCGGTGCAGGCAACCCAGCTGACTATATTTCGGTTTTACGTTGGTTCACAAACTATGAGAAGCGAATCAAGGATTTGGGGAATCGTTTTGATGCGTTTTTACAGAGAATTGTGGACGAGAAACGTGCAGAGAAAGAAAAAGGCCAAACTATGATCGATCACTTGCTTTCTCACCAAGAAACCCAACCCGATTACTACACGGATGTCATCATCAAAGGACTCATACTCGTAAGAATTTGTATTCATCAAATAAGCAAATATACTCTTAACTATTGATGATTGCTGTATATACATAAAGTTTATTATTAACAAACGATATGCGCAGACTCTGGTAATTGCAGGGACGGATACTACGGCGGTGACACTAGAATGGGCAATGTCTAATTTGTTGAACCATCCAGAAATACTTAAAAAGGCAAGAATCGAAATCGATGAAAAAATCGGTTTTGACCGGTTAGTAGACGAACCGGACATTGTGAATCTTCCTTATCTCCAGAACATTGTCACGGAAACACTACGTTTGTATCCTGCGGTTCCACTACTACTACCTCATCTGTCGTCGGATGATTGTAAAGTGGCGGGATATGATATCCCACGTGGCACGATGGTATTGACAAACGCGTGGGCTATGCATAGAGATCCAGGGCTATGGGAAGATCCGGAGATATTCAAGCCAGAGAAATTTGAAAAAGAAGGTGAGGCTGAGAAGCTAATGCCATTTGGGATGGGACGAAGAGCTTGTCCTGGAGCCGGACTTGCTCAACGGCTAGTGAGCCTGGTTCTTGCAACTTTGGTTCAATGTTTCGAGTGGGAAAGGGTTGGTGAGGAACTTGTGGACATGGCAGAAGACAAAGGAGCCACGTTGCCTAAAATAGTGCCGTTGCGAACCATGTGCAAAGCACGTCCCATCGTTGGTAAACTGATATAGTGTTTTTGGCTTCTTAGAAAAATGTACCTTTATTTTGGGCTTTTACATGAACAAAATGTAACTAGCTGTAACTTTTACACTCTTGCTTAGTATCGGCGTAGTGGTTACTAGTCAATTATCAATTTAATATTGTGAATCTTAAGCTATCTTAAAAATAGAATGTTATAAAAAATTACCGAGTCCCATATAATAAAATTTTGTGACTATATTATATGGCTGTGTTAGTCAATTGTAGAATCACTAGACATTTCAGGCTATTTATTCTTATTAGTTTTTCCCTAGGATAATAGGATGTTATTCTTTACATCTTTGTATTAAAGAAACATTTGTTTGTTTAAAGTCAAAAGGCCAAAGCGCCAGTTTTTGTAACGTCTTACCTTGAGTATAGAGAATATTGTGTACAAGAACTAGGAAGTATGCTGTATCCACATGCTTTTTACGTAGATTGAAACTTTTACGTTGCCTTTGTTATAATTAATGGGTTTTTTATTTATTAAACATTCATCTTGAAGGCATTGCCCTGCTGTATGCAATATAATGCGTCTAAAGAAACCTCATTACTGAACATCGTTTCAAGAAAACCTTCACGAACTTATTTTGCATCAAGTCTCAAGTGTGTAAGATGTGAAATTATCAATCATATCTATCAGTGAGTTATCGCTGATGGTTATATGTTCAATCGTATACTTAGTTATTTCCTATTATTTTGAGTTCGATTGGCGACTACAGTTTTAATTAGTAGTGTATTATGGATAAAGAAGATGATCTTAACGGTATGTAACAAATAATGTTATTGGTAGTAGTAGTATAACAAATTAGTAGTGTATCAGAAAATAAAATAAAAACTACAAGATGCAGGAACATGCAAAAAAAAAAAATGATCTTGCCACATTCTCTCTTTTTTTTTTTTTCATACCAAGTTAATTTGCAACAAATCATTTCGTTAGCATAATTAATAACCTCTAGCATTAAAGAAAAAAATTATACTCACCAAAAGATTACAAATCATATAATTTATTTTAAGCAATCATATAAACACAATATATTTATTCCCTCGTGAACACGTTTCAAACATCTGGACACCATGTGACATCTCCCACACACACTCTACAATATATAGAGGTCATGCAAGGAAACGAAAACGAGCTATCAACAGCAGCAAAATAAATGGACTGTCTTCAAATATTACTTCTCTCAGTATTTCTCTTTTTATCTACCAAATTATTGCTCACAAAATCAAAGACAAAGTCAAATTTTCCGCCGTCTCCGGCAAACTCATTGCCCGTGATCGGCCATCTCCACCTCATAAAGCGACCGTTCCATCGGAAATTTCTTTCTCTCTCCCAAACCCTCGGTAATGCTCCAATATTCCACCTCCGCCTCGGACAACGTCACGTGTACGTCGTCTCGTCACGTACCATCGCCGAGGAATGTTTCACCAAAAACGACGTCGTTTTGGCGAATCGGCCTGTGTTGATGATAAATAAGCATTTAGGGTATAATGCTACACATATGATCGGAGCATCTTACGGCGATCACTGGCGGAGCCTCCGTCGAATCACCACTTCTGAGATATTTTCGTCTCTTAGGCTCTCTACGTTTTTGCATATCCGTAAAGACGAGATCCGACGGCTTATACTACGTCTCTCCCGAGACTCTTTACACGTACGTACGCCTTTTTAGAACTCAGCATAGATTTTCCTTCCCACAATTTCAATCTATTTTCCAAATAAATAACGTTGTAACAAATATAATCGACTAATATAACTCTATGACGTATACATTAAAAACTATTAATTTTGATGTTATCATAATAACATTAAATTAACATATTTTAAAAAGAAATGGACCATTACATGTATGCACCATCAGGGATTTGTGGAGGTGGAGATGAAATCACTATTTACAAACTTGGCATTCAACAACATCATCAGGATAATAGCTGGGAAGCGATACTACGGCGATGATGCAGATGACGAAGACGAAGCCCAATTCGTGAGACAATTGGTGTCTGAGGTTGTTGCCGGCGATAGTGGAAGAAATCCAGCTGACCATCTTTCGTTTTTGCGATGGTTCACGGATTCTGAAGCACGGATCAAAGATGTGGCTCATCGTTTCGACGCATTCTTGCAAAAACTAGTTGATGAGAAGCGTGCGGAGAAAGAAAAAAGTAAGACGATGATTAATCACTTGCTTTCTCTCCAAGAAACCAAACCTGATTGCTACACCGATGTTATCATCAAAGGAATCATCCTTGTAAGCATCAAACAACTATACTAAACAATATATATATATATATATACATTAAAGTATTTTATGTGTATATTATGACGAGGTTGTTTAATATGCAGGATTTGATTGTTGCGGGGACGGATACGGTATCCATAACGCTAGAATGGGCATTGTCTAATTTGTTGAATCATCAAGAGATCCTGAAGAAAGCAATAATTGAAATTAATGATCAAATCGGTTTGGACCGGTTAATCGATGAACCAGATATTGTGAATCTCCCTTATCTGCAAAACGTAATGTTAGAAACGCTACGTTTGTATCCTCCAGCTCCATTGTTACTCCCTCACCTGTCATCGGAAGATTGTGAAGTGGGAGGCTACCATATGCCACGTGGCACAATGTTATTGATGAATGTGTGGGCCATGCATAGAGATCCGGAATTATGGGAAGAGGCAGAGCGTTTTAAACCGGAGAGGTTTGAAAAGGAAGGGGAAGCTCAGAAGCTTATGTCGTTTGGGCTAGGACGACGGGCTTGTCCTGGAGCAGGGCTTGCTCATCGGTTAATGGGCTTGGCTCTTGGGTCGTTGGTGCAGTGTTTCGAGTGGGAGAGAGTTGGTGACGAACGAATTGATATGAGGGAAGGGAAAGGAGTGACGATGCCCAAAAAGGAGCCATTGCGAGCCCTATGCAAATCACGTGCTCTTGCCGGTAACGTTCTTGCTGTGAACTCTTTGTAAATTTGAATCATTTTTCACGATTTGTGTGTGTCATTTTTGCACAGAACCAATGCTAATGTATCTCTAATCGTGTGTCATCCTTGTACTAATTTTTTTATTAGTAGTGTCAGTGTTATAACCGGGATTAAAATTAAAAATGACATAACAACAACCAACCTTTTAAGATTTTAGGATAATAATACTAAAAATAAAAGGTAATCGTGTCATATCTCAAATGGAACAAGAGATAGAGACTCGCATAAAGATCCAGAAAAAAATTGACGCGTACAAAGAAAACTCCTTTTATGTATAAAATTCAAATTTACTACTCTCCAAATATCGCCTCAGACAAACTATAAATCCAATAATATATAGTGCATCTTTAAGTCTTTTAGATATAAAATTGTTTTAATTCGCCAGTTGATATTGAAAAATCTATTGGATCAACTAGCGCTTAAACATTACATTTATTATTTAGTTCTAAGTAGGGGTGGGCAAAATATCTGTTATATCCGCTTCGAACCGATATTTGCTTTGATCTGATTCGAAAAATCCGGATATCCGTAAAGTTTCGGAACAAAGCAAATAGCAAAATGTAATATCCGTACAAAACAGAGCAAATCACAAATATATTTTTAAATAACGCCGGATATCCGATCCGATCCGTATCTTTATAAATTTATTATATATTATTATATATATATCAATTATATTATAAATTTTTATTAATATGATGTTGCTTGATCTGTGCGGATTTTGAAACCGGATATGATGTTGCTTGATCTGTGCGGTAAAATCAACGTATGAGTCGCTGTAAAAAAATATAAAAAAATTAACATATGAGTCATAAACATTTTTCCACAGACGAAATACATAAAGATAAGGAAAGACAAGCCAAGCCACATATCAGATAAGAAGCTAAAAACACATAAGAAAATGGCCTTCACTCAAATATTACTTCTCTCATTTATCTTTATCTTAACCTCTATCAAGTTCTTGTTCACAAAATCTAACCGGAAACTCAATCTTCCTCCTTCTCCATCTTACTCTTTACCGGTTATCGGTCACCTCCACCTCCTCAAGAACCCTATCCACCAAACATTTCTCTCCCTCTCTCAGTCCCTCGGAAATACTCCCATCTTCCACCTCCGCCTCGGAAACCGCCTCGTTTACGTCATCTCCTCACATTCCCTAGCCGAAGAATGCTTCACCAAAAACGACGTCGTTCTTGCGAACCGTCCTCAGCTCATCATGGGCAAACACATAGCCTACGACTCCACCATCATGATCGCAGCATCTTACGGCGATCACTGGAGGAATCTCCGCCGCATCGCCGCCATCGAGATATTCTCTTCTCATAGGATCAGTACCTTTATGTCTATCCGTAGAGACGAGATCCGACGGCTCATAACACACCTCTTGAGAAACTCCTCACACGTAAGACATTTTTAGTTATTTATTAATTTTAATTTTTTCGATAATAGAGCAAAAGTCTTTATTTACGGTGTTGTTTGTCGCCACGTATTAATAATTATCCCACCATTCCGTTTCGTGCAATATATAAAGTGGATGTAAATAGTATTACTTTAGTTTTAACCATTAATATTTTTGAGCATTTTTAAATGAGTTTGATAACTATTTTTAGCTAGTTTTTCTGTCATCTTTTGTAATTGTTCAATTTTCAACTTTTTTTTCAAGTTCTGTTTGTTTATATTCAAAATAACTTTTTAAATTTTTTATTTCAAAGAGAATTTGTAGTTTTTATAGTTTGTAAAATAAGTATTTGTTTTATATATATGATTTTACTTTAGCTTTATATATAAATCTTTCTAGGGTTTTTTTCTTAAAGTTTGATAATTATTTTCTGTAATTTTTTCTGTAATCTTTTGTATTTGGTTGCTTTCCAAACTCTTTTTCATAAATGAAAAATATGTAATTTTATAATTTGTAAAATAAATATTTGTTTTTAATTTCAAATTAATTATATTAAAAGTCCAAAAATAAATATTTAAATATAAAAATTTAAAAACAAAATCCAAAATATTTAAAAGCCTATTTTAAAATTAAAAATATGTTAATGTGGACATCTTAGATGGAAAGATGACTTGCTCATTATATATATATGATTATTGTCCACGTGATTTGGTATACATGTCCATGAAACTTTCAGTGCAGTATCCCGGTTACCCGTCACTTTATATTTATGCTATACATGTCCATATATGAAACAGAACTCTTAACTTAAATTTATATAAGTTGACCAAAAGCAAAACTTTTAGATTTACATAGATCTCAATCTCAACTGTAATTATATACCTACTTTTTCTATTCTTCTGAAAACAAGTTTGAGAACAAAACAATGAAACAATATGTAACCATCTCAAACTAGATAATCTAACTTTACGTGTTAAATTTGAAATAAGAATTAAACTAAAGAAAAATTTTGGTAAAAATGTACTATTATATATCTTTTTGAATCTATTAACATAATACTAATTTGGTAAATTTTTGATAAATAACTGTCCCACAGGGATTTGTTGAAGTGGAGATGAAGTCATTATTAGCCGGCTTGTCATTCAACAACATCATCATGATGGTAGCCGGAAAACGATATTACAATGGCGGCACAGAAGACAGTGACGAGGCCAAAGTCGTGAGGGAGCTTATATCGGAGGCGGTGGCCGGAGCCGGTGCTGGAAACCTAGCTGACTATCTTCCGATCATACGTCGGGTCACTGATTTTGAAAAACGGGCCAAAGTTTTGGGGGCTCGCTTCGATGGATTCTTGCAAAGACTGGTTGATGAGAAACGTGCAGAGAAAACAAAAGGTCAAACTTTGATCCATCACTTGCTTTCTCTCCAAGAAACCCAACCTGAGTATTATACTGACGTCATCATCAAAGGAATGATAATCGTAAGTACTCATATTTAATAATATATATGTAAATTGAGGGTTTACTAATGATTAAAGATGGGCGTGTATATACAGTCTCTGGTAATTGCGGGGACAGACACGTCAGAAGTGACGCTAGAGTGGGCATTGTCGAATTTGCTGAACCATCCAGAAATACTTGAGAAAGCAAGAGCAGAAATCGATGATAAAATTGGTTCAGACCGGTTAGTTGAGGAACCAGACATTGTAAATCTCCCTTATCTCCAAAACATCGTGTCTGAAACACTGCGTTTGTACCCTGCGGTTCCGCTACTGCTCCCTCACTTGTCCTCGGATGACTGTAAAGTGGCAGGATACGATATGCCACGTGGCACGATGTTGTTCACAAACGTATGGGCTATGCACAGAGATCCAAGGTTATGGGAAGAGCCAGGGAGGTTTAAGCCGGAGAGATTCGAGAAGGAAGGAGAGGCTCGAAAGCTAATGCCGTTTGGGATGGGACGACGAGCCTGTCCTGGAGCCGAGCTTGGGAAGCGGCTAGTGACCCTGGCTCTTGGATGTTTGATTCAGTGTTTCGAGTGGGAGAGAGTCGATGAAGAACTTGTGGACATGACCGAAGACATAGGTATCACTATGCCTAAAGCTACTCCGTTGCGAGCCATGTGCAAGGCACGTGCCTTTGCCGGTACAATGATATATGATGTACGTATAAATAAGTATTGTATAGAAACTGGTAAGTGAGTTTATGTTGGATCTTAGAAATAAAAGTATTTTGTGGTCTAGAAGGTTTGGTTCGATAAGCGTCTTTGATGCAGAACAATGTTCGTTGGGTGACAAATGTAATAAATGAAAATGTCACGATCTTTAAAGATAGTTTTGCAAAACCATATAGTCAGACAACATGCAAGGATACTATTCATACCTAGGAAACGAGGAAAAGAAAAGAAAAAGGCAACATGGGATATTTTAAGGTGAATATATGAAACACGTACCTCTTTATTCTGCGCTTCACTCCTGAACTAGTAATTCACAGTTAGCTAGACAAAAATTTCATGTACAAAAGACAGTAAACAACGAACATTTTGGATTTCATGTACAAAGGAACAGTAAATAACAAACAGTTTAGATGTCATGTTCGTTTTTGGTTACCGAATCTTCCAAGTTTTTGATTGATGGTCAAAGTTATAGTCTACAGACAACTCCGACAAATATTTATTAAAATGTTAGGAAAATAATGGAAAAATTGTCTAATCATAATTTTTGACGACTAATTGTGTTTATCGGTGTAACCCAAAAATAAAACAAAATCGGCTATGGTCGTGAATGTGCTTCCTCCACTGTGTAGGATGGCAAATGATTCTCTTCCGGAGACAAGCTTTCCTCTGTTTATACTTTATACTGGCCGCGATTGCTTCTTTTAAGATTAGATTTAGATAGGGTCATGCATGAGGAGCCAGTGGTGATTGATGGCTGTTCAGTTTTTTCATCTCTTACCATTTTTTGTTGAATTCGACCAACTATTTTGTTTTCCTAGTGTATATTTCAAGCTTACAGCAAAAAATATTATTTTAAAAAAAAAATCCATAATGGGGTTTTACCATTGGATTAAAGAAAACAAAATTATTTTAACAAGAGTTCTTAAAATAAATTTTATAATTAATTATTAAGTAAGAATCTATGAATTTTTTTTGCATGAAACATGCTCTTTTAAACTTTAAACATGCTCTTTTAGAGACTTTAGCGAGAACTTTCAACAAATCTTTTTGGATTGATTAAAATATAATGAAAAAGACACAAGTGGTTAACATCTAAACTACCAATTTACCATATAATCCCTTACGTTATTTTAACAATTTAAATAATTATTTAAGAAAACAAAGTAAATGTTCCAATTGCAATTATACTAGTTAATTTAAAATACAATTTTGTCTTTCTATAAAATAGTAGTGGACTAGTGGTATTTAAGAACGATAGAGAAACCAAAACGCAAAAAAGAAGAAGAAGAAGTCGTCATGGATTATATTTTACCTACTCTCACTGTTCTTATTACTATTCTCATCACCAAGATTTTTCTCCGACTCTCTAAACCCAACAAGAATCTTCCACCGTCGCCACGCATCTGTTTCCCAATCATCGGACACCTTCACCTCCTCAAACAACCGTTGCTTCACCGTACTCTCCGCCGTCTCTCGCACTCCCTCGGCCCTGTCTTCTCTCTCCGCCTCGGATCTCGCCTCGCCGTTATCGTCTCGTCTCCGGCCGCGGCTGAAGAATGTTTTTTGACTAAAAACGACATCATTTTAGCGAATCGGCCTCGTTTAATCATGGGGAAGTACGTGGCTTATGACTACACCTCCATGGTTACGGCTCCTTACGGTGACCACTGGCGAAATCTCCGTCGTATCACCGCCTTGGAAGTCTTCTCGACGAATCGGCTCAACGGCTCAGCGGAAATCCGACAAGACGAAGTTAAGAGGCTTCTCCAAAAGCTTCACGGTTTATCCATTGAACGCCCTGCCAAAGTACGTCCAAAAAACATATCTTATCATAATTAAAAATCTTCTATATATTTAATTCATTGGTTGTTATCTGTCAGTTAACACAAGCGTTTATAATTTATATATATATATATGTATTCACGTAATACGTTGATTAAAACAAATTTCCTTGACTTTCGACATAATACTATAAATACAGATTTTCTAAATTTTATTTAATGATATTTTTATTAGAAACCAACATGTTATATTTTAATTAATAAATATAATCAGTTTTAGAGTTGTAGCTTTTTTGGCTAAGTCGAATAATCCTTGAGTTACGTAGAAAATTTGGTGACGGGTGGAAGGTGTAATCAGCTCTAATTTTGTCTTACTGACTAATATTCGTTGAACGAAACATGGCTATTTAATCCTAACTTTTAAAATGAATAAACTTGCCCGATTTAGCAAGTCGAATAATCGTTTACGGATCGAATTCTTTCAACTTATATCAAAAGCCGGATCCAGAAAATAAAACATGTCCATATGATCAATCAATTTTGGTTTTACATCCGGTTAAGGATATTAAACCATAACAAGTACATCTTTGTATTCAGGTGGAGTTACGTCCGTTACTAACGGGTCTTACCCTAAACGTGATAATGAGAATGATGACCGGAAAGAGGTTCTTGGAGAAAGAAGAAGGCGGAAAGGTGGAGATAAGCTTGCAGTTCCGTGATCTAGTTGCGGAGATTCTAGAGCTCTCTGCGGCGGACAATCCGGCGGATTTTTTGCCGGCTCTACGGTGGTTCGATTACAAAGGTTTGGTCAAGAGAGCAAAGAGAGTTGGAGAAAAGATGGATAGTTTCTTACAAGGGTTTTTGGACGAACATAGAGCTAACAAAGAAAGATTGGAGTTTAAGAACACCATGATTGCTCATTTGCTAGATTCTCAAGACAAAGAGCCTCATTACTACAACGATGAAACCATCAAAGGTCTCATACTGGTATGTCTTTCTATATAGCTTGATCTATTTTTGGTATATATATATTATAGAAGGAAAGTTCAACTTGAATAAACCAAACTGATTCAAACCGAACCGAAAAAAATAGTATTGAAGCCAAACTTTGGCTTAATTGCTTTTTTTTTTTTTCATGAAGCTAAACCAATCATAAAAGGCATCCAAACTAACTTTTACTGAAATTTTAAAACTTAAGAATAAATGTTTATAGAAAATCATTTAAAACCAAAAGAAATAATATTTGAAATGTTCCATAATAATTTCTCAAATTGTGTAAATATAGTTTGCTTATCTGAAATATCAGTAACAAACAAAAAACACCTTCTACTGAAAGTCAATTTGATCACTTTTGTATCATAATCCGCTATAAGTGTTGGTGTAAAGTCATCCATCTTGAAATTGTCTCCGGCTCCCTAAAACTAAAATTAGCTAGAATCCGGTTAACCAAATTGAATTTGATGGGATTGAATAACCAACCATTCATGATAATCTAGTACTACCCAACTATACTGATATTGACAATCTTGATTGTTACCATTAACGCCAGCTGGAAATAGCTAGAAACCAATGGAACCACGACATATACGAAAACAGAGAAAGCCACGAACAAAATTATTATTGGTCCCACTCTCATTTGATGTCACAACAACGTAAGGTCCCATTATGATAACTGCGTTTTATTTGATTCTCAGATGATGGCAATAGGTGGTACAGATACATCGGCCTTAACGGTGGAGTGGGCAATGTCAAATCTATTGAATCATCCACAAATACTAGAGACCACAAGACAAACCATTGATGCTCAAATGGAATCGTCATCATCATCATCAAATACTCGTCGTTTGTTGAAAGAAGAAGATTTAGTGAACATGAGCTACTTGAACAATGTTGTGTCCGAGACACTAAGGCTTTACCCTGTAGCACCACTAATGGTCCCTCATTACTCATCTTCTGATTGTGTGATCGGTGGGTTCGATGTTCCACGAGATACGATCGTGTTGGTTAATTTGTGGGCTATACAAAGAGATCCAAGCGTGTGGGATGATCCCACGTCGTTTAGACCGGAGAGATTTGAAGGAAATGATCAGCTTCGACACTATTGTAGTAAAATGATGCCGTTTGGGTTAGGCAGACGGGTTTGTCCCGGGTTGGGTTTGGCTAACCGGGTTGTTGGGTTGGTGTTGGGTTCGATGGTTCAGTGTTTTGAATGGGAGAGTGGCTCAGGAGGTCAGGTTGATATGACTGAAGGTCCGGGACTCAGTATGCCTAAGGCTGAACCATTGGTTGTCACGTGCAGACCACGTGAGGCGGCTTCCGAATTGTTGTTCTTAGGAGCCAAGAATGTCTAAGATTGAGACTTTAAATTATTATGTACACAAGATCAGATTTCTCAAATAATTATCTGTAATATTGTCCACAGAAAAAGATTGTCTTATCACACTATTAGATTATTATTATTTCAGATTGAAGACGAAAATATTTTATTACAATACAAGAAACAGAACATCTGGAAGAAGATAAAAAACAGTTTCGAAGATTCCATTCAAGAACTCTCGCTCCGGTTTGGTTTAGACGAATACTCGGAGGCATGGTCTTCCTCCGCCGCAGGGATCCACTCGTTCGTCGCCGGATTGCTTTTGTAAACCGCCTTTTCTCCTCCGTCTTCGGTTGCTGCGGCAGGGGCTGTGACGGCATCTTCACCGGCGTCTTCATTAACCACATTTATAAACCCACTTCCGGTCTAATTTCAGAAACAGAGCACGATTACAAAATTAGATTTCTTCTGCTGAAAATTTTAAAAGATACAGAGAGAGAGAGAGAAAATGCGAAACCGTGTGATGTTGCTTATCAATGGCGGTGAGATTCGTATAATACTCTGTCTCCAAGAACTCGTCTTGAACTGCAGAAGAATCTCCCTCACCCAGAATATGACCCTGGTTTTAAACAACCAAACGTCTCAGATAAACGACAATGGGTCAGTTTGTGTGAAGATAAAAAAAAAGAGAGAGAGTTATAGAATCGAACATGAGTTTGTGACTGGAGAGATTGAAATTTGTCAGCCTCTGGATGATCGGTGGTTTTGTCGGAAGTAGAGAAAGATCCGGGAGGTCCAGGTTCGCTCCGGGTGGGTTTAGTGGGTCGTTTAGGAGCCAAGGAGTCGAAATCAGCCCTGATCTGATTCGAGTTCTTGATCTGCTGATCCGGGTCGGCTACTTCGTCGCTTCGGCTTGGCTTCATCGTACTCATCGTCCTTCTCTGTTTTCTGCTAATCACAACGACAACAAAACCAGCAAAAGAGCAGATAAATAGAATAGATTTTGTTCACTGTTTTTTGTTTTTGGTTGTGTAAAAAGAAATTGTAATTGGGCTTTTAATGGGCCTCGTTGCCTAATTTTCTAATTGCCGTTCTAATTAAGAAAAAATAACTTTATTGTTTTTCTCATTTTCTCATGGGCCTTCTTGTCTAAATAAAGTATATTCTCGCCAAAAAATAATTATTTTCACCCTAAAAAACAATTAAAAACTTAATAAATAATCTTTTTTTATCTGTTATCGTAGACATTATTCTACCAAAGTAATTACCGGACTTTTTAGGGAATACGAATTTCGAAAGGTGGATGGCAATTTAATAATCGTCAAAATTGGGCCCTATTCAGAGCATAGTGTATATGAAGCTTGAAGCTTTCCATTTCCGGCTCCCATAGAAAGACAAAAAATAAAATGTCCTTTTAATACCCCAAAGGCCAACAATTCGAACAAAAAGAAAAGAAGAATGAGACGTACACAAAAACGTTTGCATCTCACCAATTTCGAATCATGAACTGCGACCAATTTTCATTCCATTCTCGAATATATATTAAAAAAACTTACTAAAAAATGTTTGCATCTCATCAAAATTTGAATCATGAATTGCGACCGATTTTTGATTCAGTTTCCAACTATGTACGTATATAGGTAAGACATGAAATAATCAATGTCTTCTTTACAAGATAATCATGTCGTCGTGCACCATAATGGCCAATAGCATCTCCTGAATCCAATTTAACTGATTCGTGTTGAAATTACATGTGGATATTAGAACTACGTATTGTCAGATTTAGTAAAAAAATAAACAATCAATTTATTGGCACGTACTATATATATGGGTGTTTATGAGAAGGAAACCGACTATTGTATATGATCAAAGAATTTCTCCCTTCTAAACTTTACATTGATCGTTAACGACTGAATAAATATAAATAATCTAATAACAAATGAAAATATATTACTATAACCTGAGCTAAATTAATATTGGACGTATAATGTAAGTCTTTTAGTGACCAGCACCTCTCCTGCTCGGTCCTGAAGCCATCGTGTGCATCCTCTCTCCAGCTGAAGAGAGCGACCTTAGCCTTTTGTAACCACGTATCACGACTCCTAATAATTCTTTACTTCGTGAATCGACCCCATGAGTTTTAGACTGATCTATTTCCTCCGATGAGCCACCAAGGAGAACTCTGCAATCGGCGGTTCTTGATTCCGAAAAGGCTGAGACCAAGAACATGACCGTAAAGATCAAGCCAAAAGGTCTCATTTTTGTGCCTGTGGTACTTCGGGTTCTTGGGGGTTTAGGGTTTAAGACAATGAATGTGTTTTGGTGATTGATAGAAAAGGAGTAGTAGAGGAGGATGTAAAGCTTTATATACAAGTATGAAAAGATTCAAAGGCAGATGAAAAAGGATGGAGAGGAAGGAAGATAGGAGTTTCGATTATAAATAAAATAATATTAATATTTTTTAAAAAAATCGTTAAGAGAATATAAAATGGAATAAGATGTAGAATTAGACCCTCGATCTAAGGGGATGGTGCAGGCGAATTAGTTAAAAAGGACGGTCCTCTAGCTTCCTTGGAAGTGGACCTTTCGAAAAGTGCTAATTATTTTTTTGACCAACTAATTTTATTTTTATTTGAATATTGAAATTACAATTCGGTAACTCTAAAACTAACTTAAAAAAATATTTACATGTTTTTTGCCTTTTCGATGCCAATATTAATAAATAAATAAAAGTTAGGCTTTGTTTATTGCTTGATACACACAAGATTCCAATCAATTGATCTCCCGAATCAAAATTCAAGTAGTAGTTGGTAATTATAAAATATGTAAACTTTTTATTAGTGGGACTTAGGCAAGAAAACTATAACATTATTTTCGGTAACATGGTTTCATGATCTAAACAATTATACCGACAGGGAAGTTAGTAATTAATCACCATGTATTAGCAATATAGCCAAATGAGTACAAAGTGAATGCGCCAAGCTTAAACAACCATTTAGTTGCATTTATATATCATTTAGTTAGTTTATAATGAAATAAATATTGCAGATAAAAATTGAGAGAATGTTCACTTAAAAGTTACTAGTTATATATAACTGTTAATGTTATAAAATTAATGGTTTAATTAGTTGATTTTATATATACCTACGGTCGTGGGTCATCGACTCAATTTCGAACTTCAGAAATTGGAAGAGTAACTATGAAGGTATTGCACGAATGCGTAAATGTGACGTAAGAGGAGATAAAGTACGTATTTTATCTCACCTTTTCACGAATAATTTGATCGGAATAAATTTGACCATACGAATCCTCGAGACTTGTTTTGCATAGAAGAACGTTTCCCTTGTATAGATCCAAATAAGGTTTTATAAGTATTTTATTACCTTTAAAAAAAGATTGTAGATTAATTATATTTTTTGTACCTTTGATTAATTATATTTAATAACCAAAAATATTGATTATCAAATATTATTAAACTTGTCTATAGTTTTGGAAACAGAAAATGTATCGAGAAACGTAGATGTTTGCAAGTGAAGACAATAGAGTTGTCTAGTTTTAAAAATACAAAAAAACACCTTTTTAAAAAGAAGACTTTAGAGTTAAACTATGTATTATAATTTCAATACTGTATATTATAATTTTAGAATTCATATTCAATTTTTTTATGAATTACAGGTTAAAAAATCACAAAAAACTATTTCAAATTTAAATAGCATTACAAATATGTTTTTTTTTTGTCAGCTATGTTTTGTTTTTGATGATTTTAATGGAATATATTTAGATTACAAAATAATTATATATAAATGTTCAGGAAAATAGAAGTTATAGTTTCACCCAATTTTTGAAACATAATCAAGTAAAAATAAAAATCAGGATTTAGGGAGAAATATATAGATTCTCAAGAAATTAAAAAGGAACAAAACATAATTGTCATCGTGGCTCGTGGGTCTGAGAAAAGAAGGGCGATAACATAGACAGACAAATTCGGTGGTACACACAAAATACTTGTATGGACGGACTCTAACTTTGCTTCATAGTTGTCATGATAATAAATAAGCATCTATCTATCTTCTTTCTCTTTTCCTTTTCTTGTTTTTAAACGTCACTTCCTCCCACATGTTCCTTCAATTTTAATTCATTTTCAATCTTGCATCTTCGAATCTATTTTTCCTATTTTTTTTGTTATTCAAGTTTCGAAGATCTAAGGTCTCTATATTAATTAAATTATGTGAGCTATCCAATCTTAGTGGTCTCATATGAATATAGTGAGAATAGACTAACCATGTGTAAATGATCGGTATACATCCAAACTCAAGACACATATTATTAACGTAACACGGATTCTTACTGTTACGATCGAAACGCCATATGTGTAAATCCACAACTTTTTTTTAGTAAAGAAATACAATTACATAGCAAGCAGTGCATTTATGTAATACCAACATGCTAATTGGAATTCTTTTTCTGATGATATTATTTCAAGAATTATTTATCTATTTCGTTTTAATTGGACGAGAAAGAAAAGACTAGAATCTGGATAATGAATGATTTCATTAATGCAGAATTTGATTCCAATATTAATGGACTACCATGTTCGAACTATATATAGTTAACATTTTTTCCTGCTTTTATATTCTGGTGTGGTCTTACGCCACTAATAAACTATATTATTTTGGCCAAGCCAAAAAATGATAATCATTAATTTTCTTGACCTTATTATAAAGAGAGAAAACAGTGGACCGGATTCTAAGTAATTTGCTTATAAATTTGTTTAATAATATGAAATGTTTTGGCTTCGTATTAATAATATGGGGGAAAGTTTTCCTGATGCTCTGCAATTTGGTTTATTTGTCTTACTCTAACGTACTGCGGAAATAAAGGAATAATTTGAGATTATACTACACTTTATTTTAATAATAAAAAATCCACTACATTATATACTATATACTGGCTACCATCTATAGTTTATTTCAAAATTCCATTTTGTCTGAAGAAACAAATCTTTCACAATTCCGTTTAAAAAAAACATGAGTGATAAACTTGAAACGACGAAAATACATCATAGAGTTGTATCGTAATAATGACTGTCGTAATTCAACACCATACAGCAGCAAGAGTTGACAGATTTACCTATGTTTGTCGTGTTATATAGTAAAGATCTCTACCTAACAAAAATAATAAATTGGGAATGTTGAATTTTTAATAAAGCGTGGATTGTTCAATGTTCTTCAATGAAGAACCACGTGAGAAGAACTATTTTTTGGTCGTGCAAGAAAAATAGCAGCAAAGTGTTTGAACTTTAGAAGCATTGATTATGAGGTTTGGTGTATGTAACAATATTATAAAACAACAATTCAACAAGTTCATGGGATCCGATTTTAATAGTCAAATTAGCTTATGTCACTGCTTAGTGTCCAAATCTGTTGGTTGCACCGAACCGGAAAACACCTATTCCAACTAAACCGAATTTTAATCCATGTTATTTTACTTTAATTTTTTTTCCTATCGATAAAAAAAACTTAAGCCTAAACGAAAGGAAAGCTAGAGAGATACATTTTCGGGTTTTGATAAAATAAAAGAAACAAAGTCGAACCAAACTTCATTCCATTGAAAAATTTCCTAAAACCAAGAACCAAACCGCTTCATTCCATTGATAAATTTCCTAAAACCAAGAACCAAACCGGCTACCAATATGTGTGAGTGTGACTTTATATGTACTTTTGCAAGTTTGAAATTCAAACTATGATTTGGTCTACAACTACAAATCTACTTCAAATTTCAACTGCTGTCTGCTCCAAACAATCAAACATTATCTTTGGTCTCCAGTTTTTAATTTATGATAACATTAGATTTCTCATCATTTCCTCATTGATGGCTTTCACTTTTGTTTTCTTTTCATACATACACACAAACCTGAAGGCTCAGTAAACCAGCTGGGATTTTTCCCACGAAGCAGCCTAACTTCATTTACCACGTTCTTTTGAATTTATAACTTAGTCAAGAATAAACATTCAAACTTTGCATCTCCTCGAACACTACTATATAATCAAATACTAAATCCACAAAACACTCACAGCAAATTTCATTATCTGGTACTGATATAAGCATAAATACACATTGTTACTAAGCAGAGTGTTATAATTGTCATCACATATTATGATGAACAAAACCGTTCTGTGTTCGATTCTGTTCTTCATGTTGGTCGGTTCAGTTCTTGTTGAGACTCGTCCGCTTGGTTTAACAAAGACTAAAGAGAAGCTGATGGCTGGTTTCTTCGATGGCTTATCACTTGGTTCCATCAAAGGCTCAGGTCCGAGTCCTCCAGGCCAAGGTCATAAGTTCATAGACCGTACCGATACGTTTCGCTTTGATAAACACTCCGGCCCAAGCCCAAGCGGACCGGGTCACTAATGTTTCTATACATTGTTCAAATGGAGCCGGTCTATAAGTGCCCATCCCCGTCTAAGTCCAAACAAATTATTTCATTCTTTTGTTACAGTTGTTGTATTAGTCGAAAATATGCATACACACTACTGATACATAAGGAAGAAGAAGAACGAGAAAAACCCTTAGGGTTATCGTATATTAGTTATATATATTTAAATTTATCTGATAATGTACAATGTGATAATAATTCTGGTTCTGGTCAATGTGATTCGAATGTAATAATAAACATCATCAATGTACAAAGTGAATATAATGATATTTTACTAATTATAATGCAAATATACTTGAAATTCTATCGACCATATTCGGCAGTTTATTTTTTTTTTGGGTGGTCGAAACAGTTGTGAAAGTGAAGGGACGCAATCGGAAACTTGTATGTAATTACAAGATTAGCCTTAATCTCGTGGATTCGGCAGTTTCAGTCGTAGGAAGATTATTCATATTTAGATGTGAGTACGCCCCCTCTTGTGATGTGAGAGATCTTTGCCTGCGCGTCGCTCTCGGTCGGTGGCAATGGGAAGCTCATCGAAGGAAGAGACGGCGAGTGACGGAGACACGACTAGTGGTGGCGCATCGCCGTCCAACGACGGCAGACTCTTCTCCGAGGGCGAGCGTGTTCTCGCCTACCATGGTCCTCGCGTCTACGGAGCCAAGGCAAACAACATAACCCCCTCTCTCTCTTTAGCCTTTCTCCGTTTTTCCGTCGGATGTTGGCGTAATTTGAATTCTGGAGATTAGTTGATTTTGCAATTTTTGTGTTATACGTGAATTGTGACTACCGAATTTACTGGTTTGGATTGATCGCAATTTGGAACTGGGATTTCTCTTCCAGATTTGGCTTAGGGTTTTTCTTAGTTATCGAAATCGAATTTTTCGTACTGGATTCATGTAGTTTTTGAGATTGGAGATACTCGAAATGCTTACCCGCATTAAATTGAATTAAAAATTTTATTAAATTTTGGCCAAAAAACCTGATATAGTTTGTTCACATTCCGATGTACAGGTTCAAAAGGCAGAGTTTCGGAAAAAGGAGTGGAAGTACTTTGTGCATTATCTTGTGAGTCCTCTTGCCTAATTATAAATTTCATTTCCCATGTTTGGTTCACTGCTCCAGAGCTTTTGGTTTGCAGTGTTTAGTGACATAGCGATCTGTGTGTGCAGGGTTGGAACAAAAAGTGAGTTGTCTCTGTGCTCTCTTCATGTCTATTGTGGTATTTTTAGCAAACTCAGTAGATCTGGTACACATGACGTGAAATTGTCTTGCCCCAACAGTTGGGATGAGTGGGTTAGCTCCGACAGATTGTTGAAACACACCGAGGAGAATCTTGTGAAACAGAAAGATCTGGACAAAAAGCAAGGTGTTGAAAAGGGTACCAGGTCTGGCCGGTCTGCTCAGACAAGAACTAGAAGCTCTGCTGGTGAGTGTTATAATGAGTTATTGAAAACAAAATCTAGAGGAAGCCCTATTTCTGCTGGCTTGACTTTTGTTGATGATTAGAGAAGAACATTTATTAAGATAGCCTATTAGTATTATCATTATCTGGCTTGTACATACATCGAGTTGATTATTTATCCTCCCACATTGACCCTTTTGAGTCTACACAATACTTTTTTTTGGCCATCTACGCTTAATTTTAACTATTTTGTCAAACATGTTTTTCTTGATCTTGCAGACACAAAGGCTGAGAAAGAAGAGACGAAAAACAATTGTAAGCAAAAGCATATTAGTATTAGCTTATTTTGGAAGTCAATTGCTATTATTATTATTGGAATAACGTTAAGAGTAGATGCAACTTAAATTTGTTTGACTTAAGCTGGTGTGTAGATTGATTAGCATGTTTTCTTGCAGTTGGAAAAGGGAAGAAGCGAAAGAACGAGTCAGGCAATGAGGTTAGCCTTGTAAAAAAGATATTGCTTTAGCACCATATCGATAAAAATTACAAAAAGCCTGTAGGAAGAATGTTCTTGATAACACAGTTAATGGCTGATGTATATATACATACATATACAAACAAGGTCAATTTTTTCAGGTCTTGTAAAATCGCTTGAGGTTGCTTATGTATGCTTTTGTGATCTATAGAAGGATAACGCACCAGCAGAGAAGCTAGTCAAGATCCAGATTCCTGCAACATTAAAAAATCAGCTCACTGACGACTGGGACAATATTACGCAAAAGGATAAGGTATCATCAAGCTACTATAATTTCTGGCTCTACTTTTGCCGATTAGAAGTGTTATAGAATCAACTTTATACCTGAAAGTCACATGTGTGTATTGTGTAAACGAATGAGTCTTATACCATATTGGCTTAAGGGAAATTTCACATTTGGTACTTGTCTTTTAATGATTATAGGTTGAAATCGATAGAGTTATATACCATATTGGCTTAAAGGAAATATCACATTTGGTACATGTCTTTTAAAGAATATATAGGTTGTAATCTAATGAGTTATATACCATATTGGCTTAATGGGAATGTCACATTTGGTACTTGTCTTTTAATGATTATCTAGGTTGTGAAACTTCCGCGTATACCTAATGTCGATGAGATATTGACCAAGTACCTTGAGCTCAGAATCAAGAAGGATGGAATGTGAGTACTTTATTCGAATACAAAATTTCGTTAGATGTATTTTTGTTATCTTCAGAAATCAAATGAAGCAAATCTGTGTGTTGTACAGGATAACTGATACGGTTGGTGAAATCTTGAAAGGCATAAGGTGTTATTTCGACAAGGCGTTACCTATGATGCTCTTATATGATAAAGAGCGGCGACAATACGAAGAAGCAATCGCGGATGATATTTCACCTTCGACTGTTTATGGCGCCGAGCATTTGCTTCGTCTCTTTGGTAAAGTCTCAGTAAGTGCAGACAGTAAAATATCTGATGTTCAATTTTTTTTTGACTCTGTCTCTGCTTCTTCTTTTTTCTCCTATCTGCAGTGAAGTTGCCGGAGCTTTTTTCACGTGTAAACATGGAAGAAGAAACATGGACTCGCTTGCATCATACACTATTAGACTTCCTCAAGTATGCTATTTAATCTCTTCTTTTCACTACCATTTTGATTTCTCGGTGTAGCGGTTAAATTCACAATTGCTCTAAAACCTTTACAGGTTCCTTCAGAAGAATCAGAGCACCTTCATGGTAGCATCAGCATATGAATCTGATAAGGTTTCAGACGGTAAAGGCAAAGGCAAAGGCAAAGGCAAAGAATGACTGAGAGAATAAAGCCAGCTGCAGAAAACTGTCCGTATAATTCTGACGATTTGTTGTAATTTTAAGAATTTCTTCATTTTTCTGATGAATTCGTGGACGTACGGTAAATTTTCAGGAATTTGTAGCAAAATATGAAAGTTATACAGAGGTAACATAATTTGGTTCATGTTATTTTTTTATGGTAGTGTTCAAATAAAATTACGTTTTTTTAGAAAAATGCATAAAGGTTAATAGTAGTATGCAGAGCCTTGGTTTTGAATACGCAAAAAATAAAAATAAATAAAAGGCCATGAGATGAGATTATTTATGTGGCTAATGTTGTCGGAACAATTTATATCGGCCCCTCTCAATTTCTGTCGCTGTTATTATTCTTCGTTTTTCACATCGACAACTCTGAAACTAGACGACTCTAATACGCATTTCGCGAGATCAGAATCAATGGTGGCATGAAAGAAGCCGCTCGCGCTCAAATTCGTCGATCATGGAGCCCGCCACTCTTACTCGTTCTTCCTCTCTTACTAGATTCCCTTACCGTGGTGGTTTAGCCACTCTCCGACTCGCTCGAGTCAACTCGCTTTCAATTCTTCCAGCCAAGACTCTTCTCCGTCAAAAACCTCTTCCTCTTCGTATTCGTATATCTGCTTCCCTTAGTCTTCCGCGAAGGTCGATTCGTCTTCGTGCAGTCGAAGACCACCACCACGATCATCATGATGGCGAACAAAATCAGCATCACCATCACCATCATCACCACCAACACGGATGCTGTTCTGTGGAATTGAAAGCGGAGAGTAAGCCTCAGAAAGTATTGTTCGGGTTCGCTAAAGCCATCGGATGGGTCCGATTGGCCAATTTCCTCAGGGAGAATCTCCATCTTTGCTGCTCCTCCGCCGCAATGTTCCTCGCTGCCGCCGCGTGCCCTTACTTTGCTCCTAAACCTTACATTAAATCTCTTCAGAACGCATTCATGATTGTTGGATTCCCCCTTGTTGGAGTAAGGATCCTATAGCCTCTCTGCAATCTCCTTTGCTAATGTTAAATTTAGCTAGACGAGTAAAGGGTATTTGTTGCCATTGGTATGTTAGGTTTCAGCATCTCTCGACGCTCTTATGGATATAGCTGGAGGAAAAGTGAACATCCATGTGTTGATGGCACTTGCTGCTTTTGCTTCCGTGTTTATGGGCAACGCTCTTGAAGGAGGATTGCTTCTTGCCATGTTCAATCTTGCTCATATCGGTCAGAACTCGAATTTATCCAAGGATTTGGGATATGGCTTTGATAATGCTTTCATGGCGCTCATAAGTTTGAGCCTTTGTCTTGTCGTTGTTTCTGCAGCCGAGGAGTTCTTCACTAGTCGGTCAATGGTGGATGTTAAAGAGTTGAAGGAGAGTAATCCAGATTCCGCACTGTTGATAGAAGTGGAAAATGGAGATGTTCCAAACATTTCTGATCTATCATACAAAAGCGTTCCTGTGCACAGTGTAGAAGTTGGATCCTATATTTTGGTTGGAACTGGTGAGGTCTGTGAAGCTCTTCTAGTTGCTTATATTCTTTTTGATCCTCTATATGTGTGCTTGTATGTCATTGCTATAGCGAGCTGTTAAGTGATGGGTTTTTTTTTTTGAATTTAGATTGTTCCTGTAGATTGCGAAGTATACCAAGGTAGTGCTACCATAACAATTGAGCACTTGACTGGGGAAATCAAGCCATTGGAGGCAAAAGCTGGTGATAGAGTGCCTGGTGGTGCAAGAAATTTGGATGGTAGAATGATTGTGAAGGTATGTTTTATCATATGCATATTGATTTGGCTTGCCTTAATTTGAAGTTCTTCATAAGCTTATCTTTATTCTATGGAATTTTTTAATCAGGCTACAAAGGCATGGAATGAGTCGACGCTTAACAGGATTGTACAGCTGACAGAGGAGGCACACTCTAATAAACCCAAACTTCAGAGATGGCTGGATGAGTTTGGGGAGAATTACAGCAAGGTGGTGGTTGTTTTGTCACTTGCTATTGCCTTCCTAGGTCCATTTTTGTTCAACTGGCCTTTTCTCAGCACCACAGGTAGATGCCTGAAACAAGTTCTCGCTTTGATGTAACAAACTATTTTTGTTCGCTAATAAGATATATCAGCATTTGGACAATTGTAAGGAGCGATCTTTGCCTTCTTTTCTTGGTATGTGAAATTGGTTGATTAACCTTATTTGCTGGTTAATGATACAGCATGCAGAGGATCTGTCTACAGAGCATTGGGACTTATGGTGGCTGCATCACCATGTGCTTTGGCTGTTGCTCCATTGGCTTATGCTACTGCTATTAGTTCCTGTGCAAAAAAGGTATCATGCTACTACTCTGTAGTTACAGCCTGATTAACTGATATTACCAACTACGTGTTACTGTTTTTGCCTTGTGGTCTGCTGCAAAAATGTATCTTCACTTGTAAGTGTGTAATCTAATAGTTATGTACTTATATAGGGAATATTGCTGAAAGGTGCACAAGTTCTAGATGCTCTCGCTTCTTGCCATACAGTTGCTTTTGACAAAACTGGGACCTTAACAACCGGCGGCCTTACTTGCAAAGCAATTGAACCCATTTATGGGCACCAAGGAGGCAATCATTTAAGTGTAACAACTTGCTGCGTTCCAAATTGCGAAAAAGAAGCTCTTGCCGTAGCGGCTGCTATGGAGAAGGGCACCACGCATCCTATTGGAAGGTATTGCTTGTGAAACATCAGTGACAATTACTGTATACTACTACTTAATTGTTACAAATTCTAGAACAATGCAATTTCTTAAGCATGTGTCTCCAATCATTCACATTACGAATTTCCAAGTGTCTGATGGATAAAATGTTCATGTAAAACATTTTTCGTCCTACATCTAGAAATTTATTCTTATTTTACTATTTCCATTATCATAAACGGATGAAAGGAATGGCTTTTAGCACCATGAAGCTCTCTTTCTGTTTTTTAGACTGTTTTTTTCCCATAAATGATACTTGTTATGAAACTGAGATGTAAAGAGTACTTCATCTGTTTTCTGCTGTTTCTGACACACTTAAACTTGCTGCAGAGCGGTGGTAGACCACAGTGTGGGGAAGGACCTCCCTTCTATTTTTGTTGAAAGCTTCGAATATTTTCCTGGTAGAGGCCTTACTGCTACCGTAAATGGTGTTGAGGTGCGACATTGTTATGCACTAGATTCTTATAAATTTCCATTTTCCTTCTTGTTCTTGTAGTGTGTGTGTGTGTATGTTCCAGACACTCACTTTCTCTTCATTTTTTTGGCTTTGTAATAGTCAGTAGCTGAAGAGAGGAGATTACGAAAAGCATCACTTGGCTCTATAGAGTTCATTACGTCGCTCTTCAAATCAGAAGATGAGTTGAAACAGATCAAGGATGCTGTAAACGCCTCTTTGTACGGAAATGATTTTGTTCATGCCGCTCTTTCTGTTGATCAAAAGGTATATGCTACGGCCAAAAAAAATTCTGGTCTACAAAACCCTTTCCTTCTCTACAGTCACTAATTTCTCTCTCGTCAAACCATTTATTATTACTTCGTAAAAACCCCTTGTTTTACTGAAATTTATGAGCCTCGATACCAACTTTTTCCAGGTAACATTGATTCACCTCGAAGATCAGCCTCGTCCAGGGGTATCAGGAGTTATAGCAGAACTTAAAAGCTGGGGCCGACTCCGAGTAATGATGTTAACTGGGGACCATGATTCAAGTGCTTGGAGAGTTGCAAACGCAGTGGGTATAACTGAAGTCTACTGTAACCTGAAGCCAGAAGATAAGCTAAATCATGTAAAGAACATCGCTCAAGATGCAGGTGGTCATTACTACTCTCTCGCCACTAGGTTCAACACTCAAAAAAAAACATCTCTTAATGGGCTGAAAACTTGCTAATTGTTTGTTAGGAGGAGGTTTAATCATGGTAGGAGAAGGGATCAATGATGGTCCAGCCTTAGCAGCAGCAACAGTCGGGATTGTTCTTGCTCAACGTGCTAGTGCCACTGCAATTGCTGTTGCTGACATCTTACTGCTTCGGGACAACATCACCGGTGTTCCCTTCTGTGTTGCTAAATCCCGCCAAACAACATCACTGGTAAATGAAAAAATATAAAAAAATCTTTCCTAAAAACGAATTTTCATATGTAAGCTTGCAGACTTAACAAGTGTGTATACGTTGCAGGTAAAGCAAAATGTGGCTCTTGCATTGACATCGATATTCTTAGCCGCTCTTCCCTCGGTTTTAGGGTTTCTTCCATTGTGGTTGACGGTATAAAAGCTTTGCTTTCCATCATTAGCCTATCGAACCACCAAGAAAAAAACAGCTAATCTACTGTTTTTGTGGGATTGATCTCGTAGGTACTTCTTCATGAAGGCGGGACTCTTCTCGTATGCCTAAACTCGGTACGCGGTCTGAACGATCCATCGTGGTCGTGGAAACAAGACATAGCTCATCTAATCAGCAAGTTAAGCTCACGAGAACCCACCAGTAGCTACAACAGTTTAAGCTCTGTAGAGCCTGCACATTAGGTAATATGCTCTTTTGTGTGATTTTGTTTGTCTAATTCTGCTAAACCATGAAGACTGTATTGTATGATCGCTTTTGAAACCTCAAAATCGTATATATGTAACTTTCTCTGGATCATTGATTTTTTTTTGTTTCTTCAGGTGATTGATTATATTTACTCTTTTTGGTTGTGTTTGCCTTCCTCGTAGCAAACCCATGAAATTGGAACAATTTCTAGAAATGTTTTTGACTTTTTTTTTATCAGTTTTAAGAAAATAAAATTATGTTTTGAGTGTTCTTGCTTTCCTTTTAATTTGAATCACGAAAGATCATATGATTACAAAAAAGACTTTTGATTTGCTTCCTTCTTCGTCTCTCTCTAACCATCACTGGCTGGCTCTATACATGAAAAGCCTGAAACTTTTAGTTTTCCCGAGAAACAGAGGGAAAATTTGAAAGACTCTCACTTTCTTCTTCTCTCTCACTCACTTATCTCTACTCAATCTTCCCAATACCGATTTGGTTCACTATAAACTCTCTAAACCCGACACGACGGCTGTTTACACTTTGCGGCATACACGAACCGCCACCATTTCCTCCTCCGCCGGAACCACCACCGACGTTCCCTCGCTGTAAATCCGCCATGTAACTCCTCACCTCCGTCCTAATCATCTCCTGCACCACCGTCATGAACTCCCCACCAAATCCCGATATCCCTCTCTCTTCTTCTTCCTCTTCCTTTCTAACCGGGAATAGCTCCGCCGTGTAACCTCCGTCGGTAACCGTATTCTCGTTCAACTGAGTTGACTCGTTGACTCTAACCGTCTCCGTCTCGCAACGGTTATTCCATGGGAGAGACAGGCTTAGATAAGTCGGCGGATCTCCACCGGACGATGACGCCGTCACCTCCGTCGCAGCAGCAGATCTAGCCGTCGGTTTAAACAAGTGTTGGCCACCACTAGATTGCTCGCTGACGTCAGATCCCGAAGGACTTCCGGGACTCATATACAACCCAGTAGACACACCACCACCACTCGCCGTACGCTTCAACGGTTGCTCTTCTCCTAAATTACCATCATACCCTCCGTTTCCACCGAAGTCGCAGCTTTGCCCATCAGATGTAACGGCGCTGCATTTTCGCTTGAGCGTCGAGTTCCAATGGTTCTTGATTGCGTTGTCGGTTCGTCCATTGAGCAGGCGAGAGATCGTAGCCCACTTGTTACCGAACCGAGCGTGCGCTCGAATAATCGTCTCGTCTTCTTCAGGCGAAAAAGCACGGTGCTCCACCTCCGGAGATAGCTGGTTGCACCACCGGAGACGGCAAGATTTGCCGGAGCGTCCAGGGATTGATTTGCTGATCAAAGACCAGTTTCTTGGACCGTGCTTCTGCACCAGCCTCTGCAATAGATCGTCTTCCTCTGGACTCCATGGACCTTTGATCCGATCCATATTCTTTCGGGTAGGACCTGACATCGCCGGATCTTTTATCGGATTTGTTCTGTTTTTTTCTTTTCTTTTCTCACGCGTCCTCTGTTTTTTTTTCTATTGTGGTCGTTAGGAGTTTTTTTTGTTGGGACAGAAAAGGTTTTTAAGAGGATAAGAGCAAGAAGAGAGAGTATTTATACCAGAAGGGAGTGGCAAAAGGGTTACCGGTTCAACCGGTAATCTTTCTTATCGATTAACAGAAAAAATAATAAAGTAGTTATAACTCTCCAGTTTTTTACTAGAATATGCGTAATCTTTCGAATATTTTTTAAAATATCTAACTTATCATTTATTTGAAGGAAACAAATAAAACCGTTTTTGTCTATTAATAAAGAGATTTAGCAGTGTTAAACGGATAAATATGGTCGTTACTTGTTACGGTTTTGACTAATTCAGTCAAAAAAATTTATGGATTAATCAATTTAAACGTTTGAGTAATCAATTGTATAGGCAAGTCAGTTAATAAAATTATAATTATTTGCATCAATCAGATATATAAAAACTGAACCAGAGTGGTAAGGATTACCATGTGTCCATAAAGTAGTCTTCAAAATTATGAGCATTGCTTTTTGTATTATTATAGCAGATATTTAAAAACAGAAACAAAGAAAAAATACGTCCACGATTGAAAAGTGCGTTTCGGTGAACAGCGTTTGTGTGAGGTTAACATCGAGCGTGGAGAGCAGAGAATCTTCCAGGAAAAACGGTTGGGGACTTGGGATACAGCTGTATTAGTACACGTGTCAAGTAAATATATGTACTTTGAGTTTGAGATTTGCTTTTTATTCAAGAATAACAATATTAATAGTATTGTGCTCTCTTTTTTTCAGAGATTTGTTTTCTTTTATAGAGTACGCTCGTACTGGAGCGTCTCTTCCACTCTCTGATTTACAGGTGGAGCGTTTTTACCCAATCATTTCGTTTTCCATCTAAAAGCAAAGCTGTGACACTCACAAAATCGTTAACTTCTACGTTATAATCTTGTTTTTTTTTAATTCTCTTCTTTCAAATTTGTTAACTTTTTAGTAAAGAAACAAAATTCGTATGCTTTATTTTTTACTATTAATTAAAAATTACAAAAATTATAGAAGATAATAACAAATTCTGGCATTTTATTTGGAACACTGAATTTTCAGTGTGTATATCAACTTAGAATTAGAATATTGGTTAAAAAAAAAAGTAAATATAGGGAATGAGAATATGCTGGCAAACACACATTGCTTTTAAAAAAATTAAGTGCAAAAAAAAGACTACATACAAGTCAATAAAATATAGCCGAAAGTTTGTTTTGATTTGTTTATAAACTAAAGTGTTGTGAATTGTTTTCAATATTTTACACTGTTCGTTGCATGTCACTGTCTTGTGTGTGTGGTTATAATAGACGTTGGACCGTTGGTCCAATATCCAAATTATGCTTAACATGTAAATTGTGTTGATGAACAAAAAAGTAAACACTGTAAGTCTGTAGACAATAGGCACCAAGTTCTTGCTTGCTACATGTAACGAGTAAATGTAATAGCTTTACTATTGTTTACAGTTCATCTTTAAACATGCAACGAGTAATTATAATAGTTTTAAATGGTCCTTATATCTAAATATGTATGTTGGTATTCGTAAATAAGAGATCCTTATAATAGAAGAAAGCAAGTAAATGTATTTTGGTTGGGTTACTGACACATCTTGTTATTGTAATTACTCAACAAAGATATTTTCCAACCGGTTTGGCAGAAGAAGAAAAAAAGTTAAACCGGTACACGCCGGTATTGCGCGTGTGGTAGTATGTACAGTCAATCAAACTTTTCAGGATGTGTAACTTTTTTTTTTTTTTTCACAAAAGTGTAATTGGCAAAACGAAAGAGAGAAACCTAACGAACTGAAATACAACAAAATATCTAAATCTTCGTGAATATCTAAAGTTCTAAACCAAGCCCTCTCTTCATGCAACTTCGCATATATAATTTGCTTATACATATACGATATATGTGAGAGATTCCGAAGAAAAGTTGACCACTTTTTGCAAAACCGTTGATATATGTACTAAACGCAGATTATAAATTCTGAAGCCAAATGTAATTAATAGTGATAGAGACCAACAAAAAAAATGAAGATAAGGATGAAGTTTAACGGTTAGGTATGAGGTTTTGGTTCGATTCGGTGACTTTTTGACTGAGGAAGCCAGCCTGTATGCCATTATTAGTATTATTATTATTTATTGTTTATCAAAATACTTTTCATTATTATTTTCTGGATATTTTGTCGATCTTAAAATAAATATAAATAGAAAGAAGAAAGCAAAAAAGAAAAGAAAAGATAGGCCAAAAAGAGACAGTTGATGACGTGGCGCAACACGACAAGATAGATCGCGGGATCGGAAGGCTGATCGTTACTGGTATGCCATTATTAGAATTATTATTTATTGTTTATCAAAATAGTTTTTCATTATTATTTTCTGGATATTTTGTCGAGAAAACTTTAATTTTTATTTTTGGGATATTTTTTATTTTAGTTAAAGATTTGAAAAAAGAAAAAACAGGCTGTAAATCTCTGCCTCCCTTTAACGGCCACTCCCTCACCTGCCGGTCACCCACCCACCTTCTTTTTTTGTTGGAATTTTATTGTATTAGTATACATAACATGCTTTTAGTTCGCCAATTAAATTAGTAATCACTACTAGTTTACAATTATTTTAAAAGCTGTCTTGGACATAAAAATAAAAAATTGGTTTAGTGATTAGTCAAGAAAATCGATAATCTACATGGATGATATATATATAGTTATAAATCACACTATTTTGAATTTGAGTTTTTCTAAAATTGCGGTATAGTTAATATAATTTTGTCATTCGTTTGGTTTTGTGTATTGTTTATCTGTAGATTATACATTCGTTTTACATAAACCTCCGTTTATACAACATTTGGACTTCAAATATTATCAAGCTATACATGACAATTAGAACTGCTGTATGCATGTTTAATAGTGAATTTTATACGCTTGTTCGTTTGTTTATCAAAGACATATATATATATATATATATCAATAGTATATGTTGTAAACTTAGTAGGACAGTCGTATTTAATGGAATAAATAGTAGTCAACTAGTTTGTGAGCGTAAAAATAGAATTCCTTTTCGAATAATATATTAAATGCATTGTCATTTTTTTCCAGGTGGACTATTTAGCCAACCAACGGTTAAGAAATCATTTCCATTTTACCATAAATTTTATGTTGTGGTCACAATGTGGAATGCATTCAAATAAAAACCAACCACTAACGTTAGAAATTCCGCAGATATTAAAACACGCATGTATGATCATTTAGCTGAAGAAGCTCTGCTGTTGTGTTATTACATGATAGATTATGTTCTGGATACTAACTTGTAAATTCGTTAGTATCCACATTTATCTTCAACTCTTCGCCGGATTAGCTGATGATTTCTCATTATTGGACGTACCATGTCCCTGTCACGTCACGTATGTAAAAAAGGATAATACCATTTATCACCATAGATCAAGTTCCAAATTAAAATTACGTGATTTTATTACCATGTTGATCTATCATTCCACATTGAAGCCGCATTAGTTTCAACTTCAACCAAAATGGCTACAGTAACGCAGCAATCACGTTTGAACCGCAGTGATTTATACAAATCCAAACAAATATTAGAAGTGATTAAAATTGGGATCTGTCAAGTGTACGGCACCGTTAACACACTAATCCAGCCCGTGTACTGCAGAGCACGAGGCACATGCTCCGATGCTAAGGGTAGTTTCTTGCGAGCTTCCTACTTTTGTCACTCGATTTAAGTATTCTCTTGAAAGTATCCTCGAGGAAGGAAAAAAGTGGGATAAGATTCGGTCAGAGCTAATTGTTTAATTAGTGAACCCAAATTGTGTATTATGTAATTTTGGAGAGAGATTAATTGAGTGAACCAAGGGAGACAGTTGGACAAAACTGTGTAATTAATGGAGATACGGTAAGAGATCTTCCGTTTTTAGGTACATCGTACCTATTACCTACTTTATTCTCTGTTTTTTAGTTGTTTGCTACTATTAAAATTTTACGAATCACTTCGTTGAAAACAAATCAACAAATTTACAACTGGTATTGGCTATACTATAATACTAATTACTACCCCGGTTAATTAATTAGTCGTATATTGTTGCTTTCGGATGGAACTTATTATAAGTTTGTTCCAGGTTCAGCGTACGTATGTTTAGAGACCAATCATATGAATGTTCATTCATGCATGCATTATTAGTTCCGTAATTTTTATTCGAAAATCTAGTAATCAGCCAAAATCAGAGATTTGTTGGAACGATATTGTCTGGAATATCTCGTAATTAGGAGATCTAACTAATACCAATCCAAGAGTTCCTTCAAGGAATGGAATATTATTAGGTGACCGTTTATGTTTGTTTAAGAAACTTAAGATTCTTGTGTTTAAAGATTCAAGAAAAGAAAAGGATCTTAGAACTTTCACCGATTACTTTTATTACTGCTGCCATTGAAAGAGAGAGGACATATATATCTCGACGTGTATAAGACTTCCAACGTATAAATTCATACTATAAGGCTTACGCTTTGTAAACAAAAAAAAGGAAAAAACAGAAGTACTATTTTGTTAGTCGTCGGATACGAGACAGGTGTGAGTATTCTATCCGTTGAATCATTTTATTTTTGCTCGTAGCAAATTAAGCTTATATTCAACTTTCAAGTTTCAACCGCAGAAGGCACGTGCGAGAAACGATTTATCACGTGACGGTGGAAACGCGGTTTAAGCAGACACACGTGCGACTTGCTTCCCACCGCTCCGACAAGTACACAGCAAAGATAATTAAAAAAAAAAAGAGGAATTTAAATTTGAGGGCGGACAAATTTGACCATACGAAAGTCGTATACTTTGGCGTGGTACGGAAGGGTATATATGTAATATTGGGGGTATGAAAATATTGGAATTGTGAAACTAAAAGAGATCTTCCCCTTTGATA